TAAGGGGACAGTTCCCGATGGCCCCACCAATGGGCATTAATATGCCGCCGCCTATGATGATGCCGCCAACGAATATGCCGCCACCGATGATGATGCCAACGACCAACATGCCTCCCCCGATGATGATGCCACCGGCCATGATGCCGCCGGGGTTCCCAGGTAGCTATAAATCTTAGATAAATTAACTTAAAACTGATCCATATTTGTGTGCAGGCATTGGGGGACCTCCGCATCCAATGGGCTTGCCACCGGGAGCTCCTTTCCCACCGCCTGGAGTCGTGCCACCGCCCATCCCCGTCAGCGGGCAGTCTTCTGCCAATAGTGGGAATGTGAGTGATGATCAAATGGACATTGAGATGGACCTGGAGGACGCCCCTCCTCCACCGCCGCAACAGCAAGCTGCCTTTAATCCGTCGCCAAACAATCTTGAGCTGTCACCGGCGGCCATGGCTAATGAGATGTTCCAGCAACGGGAAAGAGAACGCGATCGGGATAGGGATCGCTCCCGGGGCCCAGGAAATTCGCGCTGGGGCGGACGAGATGATGTGGTCGAAGCGCCAGACCGTTGGCGCGCAGAGAATGGAGGAGGAGGAGGTGGACCAGGACCTGGACCTGGACCTGGACCGAACGCAGCCTTTAACGAGGCACGAGCGCGTCTTAACCTAAATCCTATTGACCACGGAATGCCAAGGCCAGACTTCATGGGTATTTAAGGATATGAGAAGAAAGCAGCCTTCAAGCTAACAAATCTACCATTGCTTTGCAGATTTTGACAGTCGCGGTGGACCAGGTGGACCCCGCGGAATGGGACCACGTGGAAATCACAACGGCGGACCAGGAGGCGACTTTTTCCCGCCCAACATGAATCACAATCGATTTAATCAGCCCACAAGCCTGATGCAAATGCGCATACCGCCACCGGCGTCATTTAACCAACGGATGGGTGGTCCGCCTGGGAACGGTGGCAACGGAGTTGGACCCATGTTTATGCGGAACCAAGGTGGCGGCGGTGGTGGACCCGGCGGTGGTGGACCTGTCGGTGGTGGACCCGGCGGCCCGGGAGGACGACAGCAGGGACCAGGTAAGAAACGTATAATGAGGGCAAACTTTAAATCGAAAAATACAAGACGGACTTTATTTTGATTACATTGAACGAATTTAATTTGCTATTTAAAAACCAATACGCAATACCTTAAACTTTTAGGAATGTGAATTAAAGTTTTGCCTAGCAAAACTTTATTTTCTTCGTAAAAAAAAAATTGGTGATACTGTATTAAATTGAAAAAAAAAAAACCTAAGACTTTCAATTGCATATTGGAAAAAATAATTTCATGGTTTGCAGTTAGACCTATTGTGTTCAAAAATTGAGTTATTTTTTTCTGGCGTAATTAAATAAAGCAATACGCATTTATTTCGCTTGCAGAATGAACATAACTACTTTAAAGGGATTGAAAATATCCCCACCGCGTTTTTTTATAACACCGTAAACGAAGTTCGTTAATTAAATAGTAAATTATTTGTACATGTTATTTCCTACTTGTTATGGTTCTGCTTATTAAATTTATATTAATTGCAGGTTTCTTTAATCCTCGGAATCCCTTCAATGACAACCAACGCGGACGGGGAGGCCAAGGTGGAGGCGGAGGTCGGGGCATGGGCGGAGGTGGCGGTCCTGGCGGACGCGGACGTTGGAGCGACGATGAAGACGAGGCCGGAAACAACTTTAAGCGGCGTGGCGGTCCAGGTGGACCTGGCGGTAATCGATTCCGGGGCGATCGCGGAGGGGAAATGATGGACGATCGTCGCGGCAACAACCAACGAGGCGGCCGCGGTGGTCCGAGGGAAGATCGGGAACGTCCAGGCTTTGGAAACAGACGCGACTCGCGAGACGACAGTAACCGCCATTCAATAAGCTCAACGGAAGAGGGCAGCAAGCCGGCTCCAGAGCCTGAGGCTAGGCCTAAAAATGCAGATACTGCATTAGCTATCCCCAACACAGAAGCGGAACCCACTTCCACTAAAGTAGACACCGAGGAAGACTGGGATCAGGAGCTTCAGGATTACGAGGCGAGAATGGAGGCCCAGAAGCCAGGGGAAGATGCCCCTCAGTCCGCAAATAGACCGCCTAAGGAAAACATGCCGTCGGAGGCTGAAAGCTTTGCCAAGCCGGCTGAAGTGGCAAGTGATTCATCGGCTTCGAAACCACAAACGGATGCTTCAGCCGCCTGCACACCGCTCTATGACGAGTTGCCACCGCCAGCGAACCCCCCAGCCCAGGCACAGCCCGCGAGGGAAGCTGAAGGTTCTCCACCCCGCCAGGAGCCGGAAGTCATTCACACTGAGGCTGCGCCCAAAGAGGAATTGGTTCCAGCGCCGGCTGCTGAACCCCAAATGGAGGCTCCATCTTCCGAGGAACCCAAAACACAAGCTGCTTCCGCCGATGTCGAAGCCGAAGTCGAGGCATAGGCATCAGACAGATCAACTAAGAAACAAACGCATCTTTGAGCAAATTCAAGAGAAACTGTAATTTATGATTTTCCTTACCAAGTAACTTAAGTGTAACTCCATACAAATTTTACCATTTTTAACCTGAGATTACGCAGCATTTGTTGACAAGAGGGGGTCGGTCGCTTTTAAAATCAGATTGAGTTCATTTCGTGTAATTTAACTTATCGTACAATAGGAACTACAACTACCAAGGACTACGTGGAGCAACAGATACACACAGATATAGCAAATAATTAGCAAAGGAAACGGATTGTATGGACAGGAAATTGACAGGCGAACTTGTGTGGAAGTAGAAGCCCAATCATAAACAAATCAGCAATCGCAAAACTTGAAATGTTTATTATTTTGTTATGTATTTAGTTTTAAGAGTATATTTAACACTCAGATTGTTTCTAATGCGCAGATTCTAGGTACACGCATAATAATGTACAATTCAAATATACCTATATTATCAGATACTATAAAATAAAAAGTGAAAAACATCACTCGCATGTGTATTTTAATGCATGGTTGAGGGTATTTGATTTTTTTCATTTTTTTTCTTGAAAAGGTTGATATTACTGAATATATTACACTCATACAAATATTACGATTTCTTATTTCATCTTAACCGATCACAAATACATGACGATTTTAAAGTTCTATTGGCACGTAAGTCTATTGCGAACAGGACTAAAATTTAATTTGTTCAATTCGTGAAGTTTCCGTTTGGTAACAAAAATTAGACGTAAATATTAAAAAAATCGTAACCATTTTACTGGTATGTGCTCTGTTGGGTTACCGCATTGATAAAAAATAAATCGAATAAGCCAAAAAAGGACATGACCCCGACGTGATTTGAACACGCAACCTTCCGATCTGGAGTCGGACGCGCTACCGTTGCGCCACGGAGTCTTGATGCGGGGAGGGTGTTAAATTTCCTGAGTGACCGAAAGATCGCTGGTGCTCAAACTCACTAGCTTCTAGAATAGCATATCTCAGACATCAAGAGCATCGGTGGTTCAGTGGTAGAATGCTCGCCTGCCACGCGGGCGGCCCGGGTTCGATTCCCGGCCGATGCAAATTGTTTTTTTTTTAAATATATTTTAATAAATTATAGTTAAGTGGAAATCAACCAAAGTACTTATGTACAATATTGAACAACAGGCGAGTCGATAGAGACATTGTGACAAATTCGAGTCTGCGTTGAGCCTTGCTAGAAAATATGTTCTTTGTTTTTGATTTCTATATAGAAAATAGTAGATTCAGGAACCTATCTTTATAACCGGCAAGGACAGCCACCGTAATGATAAATTATATTTTTGAATACGGTTATTTATTTATTATATAGGGCTCTTTTGAAGAGTTCAGAGATAATGCTTCGATTTGTAATTATATTTCAGCCATTACCATGGTCCAAACTGAGGACCGTTTACACTAAAGTCGAGCCATGGAGTTATGTCATTTGCGACTAGTGGGTAAAAAAAACCACCAATAACAATGTCACTAGCAGAAAAATAAAAACAACTGTTCATATCAAGACTTATTTTCCACAAAGACAATATTTTTAATCAATCTTGTAATCAGATGCGAGATTTAAGTGACCTAGAAAGGTCACTCTGCTGGACTTATGAAGTCCAATTATACTAGGCTGGCCCATTGGACCAATCCATCCCTTCTGCAGATGGGAAAATCGAATCTTATAAATATCAACATTAAAAACATAGAACAGGTTATCAAAAACTGTAAAAGTTAAAAACTAAAGTGTCCTATATATATTGGAGGTAACGCAATTATGGAAAAAGACCGCGAATTTCGTCCAATTAAACTTGTAAATATTTTGTATATTATTTGGTCCCTTAGGTGGCATCCACAAGGTGCAACTAGTGTTGAGTCAAAAAGTAGTTAGGTGTTTTGCCGGAAATTAAGGTAATTTTGGGTCATCGGTCGATTATGTTATAATACTAGCACTGCTGTTGTAAGCGAAATTTAAATTTCAGACAAACCTAACATGGGAAATTATTCATGTGAACAATTTTGTCCCATCTGTAGGCCCCTATCGCAAACCTTTATGAAAACTAGATAAACTTAAATAACTAGCTGCCCGTAATCCAATAGCAAAGTACAAATGTAAGCCTGGCATAGCCAAATCTTATTGATCACCTTTAGTCTATTTGGATTCAGTCCCCGCTAAATGCGTATCTAGGATGCACACCATTGTTTAGGAACAGGGTCGTTTCAACCGACTTACTTATATTGCAAGGTTTTTTTTAGAACTTTCATCGATGGTATTTTTCTGCAACCGAGCCACAACCACACTGGTCGCGTCATTTCGAAGCGTTCGGAGTTTCGATTTCGTGTTAAAATATACAAAACGCAAGTCAATCGATACAGATCACCGGAATATATATGCACAACGGTTACCGTTACGCGAAGAGAAAATGCAGTGCTAATTGAGTGTAAGCATCAGAGCAACGCAGTTGTCAATGTGAAAAGAAAAAATTTTCGGGTGCCAAAGAATCCATCCATCCAACACACACATGCACGCAGGCACCGAGGCACATACACATGTTCACAGACACAGCGCAGTTGTGGGAAATGTGCAAATTGTATTAAAAATTCGCCTGAAAGTAAATAAGTTGAGCACAAAATAAGTGAAATAATCAGAGGCTGAAAAGGCCAAAAGCCAGCCGAAATACTAAAAAACGTGTGCAATTTTGCAGTGCTTTTGGCTGTGTGTATATCGTTGTGTTCGTGTAGGTGAGAAGTGTGAAAAATACATAGGTGTATACATAGGTGTCCCTGTACGTGTGCCAGCCGTCAACACACACACACTCACGCATACAGGGGCAAACGTAACCGCAGTCGACGCTGGCAGAGAATAAGAGAGCACCAAAAGGATGCTTCCTGCCAGAGAAGAGAGCGCAAAAGGATGCTTCCTGGCTTAAATGTGGATGCTGTTTGAAAGCTTACCCCCGCCGACCCCTTGAAAAACTTTACTTTTCCCCCTCCCACATTGTTTGTGGTTTTTGTTGCTCTCTGCCTGCACAAACATGCATACCCATACACACACACATACAAGCATAAATGTTTGGTTTTATTCTAGCTATTTTCGGAAAAACGAAGGTGATCAAGACAACCGGCATCAATGGGTTTCGTTATTTATTTGCTTTATTTATTACCAAATTGCTACTTTATTCTTCTGATAACACGTTGCCACACCGATAAAAACCAGAGTGCTGAAAATGTGAAGCGACTGCTATCGCTAAATTCCCGCAAGTTATGCAAAAAGCGGCCACCAAATTACCGCATTTTATCAAAGTTCTTTAGCCTTTTGTTGCGCGTCCAATCTTGTCGACCTGACGTTGTTGCTTTCGTGTTTTGTTTTTGTGACTTTTCTAAATGCGATGAGCCCACATGTGTGAGTTCTGTATGAGTGTGTGATTGCGATTGCGTGGGAGTGTGTCAGTGCGATCTCGTTTTGGCCAACGAAATGCAATTGGGAAAGTGTGAAACAAAAGAGAGAGGGAGCGAAAAAAGCAGGCGAGAGCAAAATCAGTGCACTTTATGAGCCGTTGGTTTCACGCCGCCAAAACTGTGGGTCATTTAAATGTTATATACATTTCATCTTATCTGATTTCTCATATTTCTGTTAACTAGATAAAAGGGTCCTTACTACGATTTTAAAACTGTAAAACTAAAAATGATCGCTTCATTCAGATTTTTGGCACCTTCCGACCGATATCGCCCAAATATTTTATTCAGATTTTTATTATGTATTCAAATCTTGCATATAAAATACTTTTAGTGAATTTATAATATAAAACCACTAAAAAGGATGTGATTATAGTTAAAGCACTTATCTCTCTTATTGGTATTTTATTTAATCGATGCAGCTGATGCAAGCTTTAACTAATTTAAAAGTTAGTGTGTTTAAAGTAAAAAAAGAGAAGAGTGTTTTCTATGCCTATATTTGTCTAATATCTAATTGGAAAATGTTCATTATCACAATAACTCAAAATTAAAGATATTGGTTCCTTCACTCCTATCACTAGTTCTCAAATAATATAACTTAAGTTATCAATTACATACCAATAGTTTAAAAAAATACATTTTTATTGACTGTAAAGTCTAGTACTCAGATCGACGAAATCCTTCAGCTATGAGAGAGCGAGAGGCAAACAGTTGACGAACACTTTTCGTCAGGCCCTTTTTTCACCCCGGTATTCAGAACGACAAAAAAAAGTACTACCAGAAAAATGCATAGCATTGTCAGTCTGCTGAAATGCTTTGAGAAATAAACTTAGCGAAAAGAAATCTTTTGAAGTGTTTGATGTGAGCAGATTGTTTCTTAAAACAAAAATAGACGGAAAACCTTAAAAAAAAATTTAGTGCAGCTATGAACTTTAATAATAATTATCAGTAAGTAAAAAAAAACGGTTACATTTTGATTATATTATTTTTTAATTGCTTTGTACACCGGCTGACTCGTCTTGCTAAAGTACTTGACGATATCCTTTAAAGCCACATTCCTTTAGATAAGTTTTTTGATTTTTAACTGTGTCCAAAATCCCAGCTGTCACACTGGCAAACTTGTTTAGTACTAGGCTTTAAGAAATAATCAAGCTTGACAGCCCTTCTTAAAAGGGGCCTAAGACCCTATTTGCAAATAAACATGAATTGAAAGTTAAATGGAGCTTTATTATCACTGTTACCTTATTACTTATAAATAGCTAATCATAGGAGCTTTTACTAATTAAGGATATGAGTAAACCAGCCATATTAAAGTACAGCTCATTTTATTATATAACGTATAAATAAAAAACAGGTTTAAAGAAACTATACAAAAAATACATTGACAGACATATTAGTTATACTATGACATTGTACAGTATATTTTTTGTTGAAGCCCAATCAACCTTGTATTGTCTCAAAATAATTGTTGCTATACACTGTTTTAAATGTTTAAAAGTATTTAACTCGCAAAAAAAGGCTGGCATGCTTGCATGGCAACCAAATTAGGCCCAAGTGTAGTACACCCTTTTGGTAATTATGTATTTGACTCCCGATGCAGACAGGCGTTACAAAATGGCGGATACGAAGCAAAGAGTCGTGCGAAAGGCAAGTCCAATTCGCATTCAGGTGTCCATTTGTGGTCCATCACATCACAGGACGAGAAACAGCAACTGAAACAGGAACAGGACAATCGAGCAACAGCGCCAGACGTCATCGGTAAGCGGAGCTTCCGCAGTTGCTGTTTCTGCCATGTGGCCATGCCATGGATGCGCTCCACTTTTGGATGCTATTTATAAACCTTTTCACCCGTATACATACACACAAGAACGCCAGGCCAGTGATTCTGCTCTGCTTCCTTGAAATCTGCATAGTTCCGCTTCCGATTGAGTTGGCGCAGTCGCATTGGCAGTCGCTTCCATATCCATAACCATATATCCCACATCCATATCCATCAACGCTTGTATTGGCAACAGAGCGTGTGTGTGAAGGTTTCACGTTCCACTGATTTTACCGGGCAGCATCCACATCCACATGTTGAGAAGTGTGCACAGTACATGTATACCCCACGTCCTTTTCCCGGGTTTTCATTTCGTCTCTCAATTCCCACACTCCAAAAACTCTTTGTTGCATTGATTTGTTTGTGTACACGGGTGAGTGTGCGTGTTTTTCGTCAGCACTTGTAATTTTCTAGTGCTTTTCCCGAATTTATCGCGATGGATAACGGCAGATTTAATGCTTTTGAATCGGCTACGCTTGACACTTTGGTTTATCAACTGAAAAGTAGTTAGGTTACTTTTCTTTTGAACAAAAATATTCAAAGCTATAAAATACAAAAAAAGTATTACCAATTTTGCTTTTAGTTTTTTTGTAATATGAAAAAACTCGTTGATCATTGAGCAAAATTTTATTAACAAAATGTTTTTATCTGCAAAATAGTTGGATATATTTAAGTAGATATTTAAGTTTTGCTGGATTTTTTATGTATTATCAGGTTCTTTAAAGTCATCCAAACTACAACAATTCACAGAACGCCTTAGTGGCACGTATCTGAGTACTAACACCTATACACGAAATTGTTTTCTCTGGCCCACAGGTGTGCTTTTAACGCTTTTTGAATCTCTCAGAAGCTCATGCATATCTCCATGCATAAGCAATTTATAATTCAGAGACCATTCCGAGAGTCGAACGATTGAATAATTGGGCTTCTTTATCATTGCTTTAATATTTATTCTGAAAAGTTACAAATCCGTTATTATAAAATATATATAACGCCCAAACTAAAGGTTCGCGGGGTTATTCTTAGTAGTGTTCTGGTTCAAAACAACATTACTCGAAATAATAGCTCATGAATTGTCAAATTAGAAGCTAATTTGGGATTAAATAATTGAATATCACAATAGTTAAAATTTTTTCATAACAATAATCAAATTAAAATATAAAATAAATACAATTTTAAGGGCGAAACAATTTAAACAGACCAACAGCTTACTCATAAACATACATCTACATAAATATTTCTGAGATGTCAAAAGAAATGTCAAAAATCTGAAATTGTTTATTTAGCAACAAGAGACAATTAGACCATTGGTTACGTTACTGAGATAGCCTCTGTAGTATTATCCTCAATTGCTTACAGTGCCTAAAAAATAGATTGAGCGTCGAAATGTGAACATTTTTCAAATACTAAACTGCCTGTTCGCATTTTAAACGCCCGCACGTTTAATTGCGAGACCAATGCATAACAAAGCGAAAGTGCAATCATCAGAACAGCAGGCCTAAAAATAACATTTTTGTTTTTACTTATTATAAGTTGCCGATGATTTTAAATAGGAGTAGTATGGTCAATCTCGGCAGAGAATTCAATGCCAAGCGGTTCGGGCGCGTTTTCTCACGTTTTCTCGCCTTTGCTCTCGTAGTTTGGCATCTCTTTTCTCATCCCCATCCCCATTTTCTTGTGTCATCTGTTTGCAGTGTGAAAAACGAAAAGCCGGCTCAGCAGGAGGCGAAAAACATTTTCCAAACGCATCAGATGTAAATGAGATGCCGTCGCGCCGGCAGCAGAGGCAGCAGCAAGCAAAACCACGCCGACATCGCCTCCGGAAATATCAGGAGCCCCAGCAGCATCTGATTATCAAGTGAAAAGTGGAGCGGGAATTCAATACGTTCGATACAATTGATAAGTTGATAAGACAACAAGGGAGAAAAGCAAACTAATTTAAGGGAACAGAAAGGGATATCTAATAGTTTCGGAGGGGAACACTCGCCGCGCATCCAAGATGAAGCGACGCAACGCGGATTGTGGCAAACTTCGGCGGCCGATTAAGCGCAACAAAATCACAGAGGGAATGTACGGCAGGTGAGTACTCTACTTAAAAATACTATTTTATTATACAAAAATAAATCGTACAAGATTATACTAGGATTACTTATTCAAGAGGTTTAGCTTTAGTGACAGTCACAATACACAAGACTCGAGCGAGAATCGGATCTTTAGATTTTTTTTAATACAAAATTATGATGTAGCCATCCGATCAGTTAACTAAATAAGAGCTACACGAACAGAGCTACATTAACAAAAAACTTCACCTAATAATGGAGCAATTTATACATGTTATTACACATATAATAGCTCAGTTTATGAAGATTGCATTTATCTTGGAAATCCGTAAAAAAAAATGAGAATTAGTGAATACCGATTTTAAGATTGGCAAATCTATATGTTTTGTCACAGCCCATTAGTTAAACAATTTACATATGTCTTATGATCGAGCCATTTCTTAATTGAGCAATAAAGAACTTTTCGAATTATTGGCATGCGAACTGCCCCCCAAGTCAACTTGACGATTATCAGATTTCCTGACGCGCAAGAGAAGAACAACCACGAAATTCCGAGAGTGTGCTCATGTGGCGGAACTTGTTCTCCCCTCCTCTCACTTTCTTATTATTTATACGATTGTTTACTTTTTGATTGCGCCTTAGTGCTGTTGTTTTATGATTTTATGCATGTATTTATTTGGACGCTACTCGTTTTTACGCATTTTACCCGCCTCTTCGCGCTTTTGTTCTTCTTGAAGTAGCTTTGTGCTAATCTTATTAAAATTTCTAGTGCCTGATTGATGACTTCTATCTGAGGTCAGAAATCATGTCATTAATGCTGTCTTTAATTTTTTACATTTTGAGGCGGGAATTGTCCATTTTGAACCAATAATTCTGTTATCGTAAGCAATTAATCAAATTAATAAACTTACAAAAAGAAAATAAATGTTTCCAATACAATAAAGTTATCTTGCTAAATTAAGTCAATCCAATTTATATTGATTTTGATACTGTCAATTTTTAAATGAAGAAATTCCCGTTTGGAATTTACTCATAGTAAATTTCCCACACAACAACTTAAAACGATTTTCACGGCTTTCTGCAAATCAACAGCTGGCAGAGAATCACTTTTAAGCTCCCAAAAACTGTGATAAAACTTATATCAGGCTGTCGTTAAAAAATATGGCTTGGGGAACAGATAAAAGCAAAACACAAAATGGGTCTAAAGTTGTTTTTTAACTCGTTGTCGAAATATTATTGGTTATCGTTTTAGGAATCTGTTCCCTTTGGACATGTGGTTTTTTAAAATTAACGAAGGGGTATTTTTGCACTTATACATATGTACATGTGTACGAGCCCCGACCACTATTAATTCGTACGGCAAGCTTTTTACCCATACGCAATGTTTAACAGCCGATATTTCCAATACTAATGTAGATAGCACATGCAAATTTATTTTTTTTGATCATTTTATTCCTTAAGCTTAAGAAAAAAAGTTCTATTGCACTTCAACAGCAACAATAATAGCAAACATTTTTCTGAATGCTAATAATGATTAATTATGTTATTATGTGTTAAAGATTATATTACACTTGTTCCTTTTGTTTTGATCTTCTTAAAATTCTAAGCTAAGCTAGTGCACCGTACGAATAATTAGTGGCAATATTTTTCTTATCAGTTAGGCAAAGCAATTAGAAAAATGTTTGTTATTATTGTTGTTTAACAGCAACAAAACTCTTTTTTCTAAGCTTAAGAGAATAAAATGATCTTTTTGAAAAAATAAGTTTGCATGTGTTATCTACATTAGTATTGGAAATATCGGCTGTTAAACATTGTGAATGGGTGAAAACGCTCGGATCGAATACAATAAGTACATTATTAATATTTTTAAGAAAACGAACACTTTGAAGATAGTTATAATATGAAGGAGATCTCTGGGGTAATGTTTTATTAGCTAAACGACTAGCTTTTATCGTTTGCCCTTTTTCTGCCCAACTTAAAAAAAAAAATGCCCCTCTTAGAAGTTTGAAATAAAAAAAACGTTGGAGTTTACCAAATTTTTTAATTTTGTTCGATTAGGTTTTTTACCTCCTAAAATGGTTTATTTTCAAAATAAAACGTTTGCCAATGGGACAAAATAAGCCCAAATATGCGAAACAATTAAGCCTTTCCAATTTCAAAAATTCGATTTTAGTCTACACAGCTTCTGTGTGCTAGTTTTATTATATCGATAAAGCAACATTACATTTTAAAACCTTTTCTTCTTTATATTGCAGCACAACAGTTCTGTACATGAAGTTTCTGATCCTTTGGGCCATTGTTATGGTTGCTGACTTTATGTTTATGTTCCGCTTTGAGTTCTTGTGGCCATTCTGGCTGCTCCTCCGCTCCGTGCACGATTCCTTTAAATACAAGGGATTGGTAAGTGGGATGGGGACACACCTCCGGAGTAAGTGAAACACTCTATGAGCTAATCTAATTTGCAGGCATTCTCCGTGCTGTTCGTGTGCATAGCGATAACGTCGGATCTGGTCTGTTTGTTCTTCATACCCGTTAACTGGCTGCTCTTCGCTGCCAGCACATATGTCTGGGTGCAGTACGTCTGGCACACAGGTGAGTCATCCACCGCCAGTGCGGACTCTTCGACCATCTGCTAACTGGCTCTTCCGATTTCTTGCAGATAAGGGGATCTGTTTGCCGACCATAATACTCTGGATGTTATTTGTCTACCTGGAGGTGGGCATACGATGGAAGGACAGTCGCCACATGCCGCACTTGGATCTCTGCCGGCCGTTCGCAGCGCACTGGTGAGCTTACCTGACCAGGTGGAGAGTAAACCTCTTTATAACATTTAACTGTTCACTTTCAGCATTGGCTATCCGGTTGTCACGCTCGGATTTGGCTTTAAAAGCTACGTGGGCTACCGCATGCGCCAGCGCAAGCAGCGCGAGGTGGCCAAGGACAACGAGTTCTACATGCAGCTCCTGCAGCAGGCTCTTCCCGCGGAAGAGGCGGCCGAGGAGGCGGCTGCGGGGGCGACAGCCCAATCCAGCACCGTCGTGGTGGCCAACGGGTCTGCCACAACGTCGGCTCTGGTCTCATCATCCGGAGCACTGGCGGCGAACGGCATATTGGCCACTGCCACGCAAGCACAAAACCATCATGAGCATCATCACAGCGGCGGCGCCGGCGCCAGCAGCAGCAGCTCGAGCAATAGTAATCATCACCATCACCACCATCATAGTAACAGCAGTGACAGCAAGGACAACAGCGCAGGCGACAGCATAACGGCGGCCGCATCGTCGTCATCAGCAGCGTCTTCTGCAACGGGAGCCGCGGCAGCTGCTGCGTCAGCGTCCACCTCATCTGGCTCCTCGTCGTCGACGGCGGCGGGCAAGCAGGCGTCGGCGTCTGCCGCATCCACGGCCACAACAGGTGCAGCAACTACTTCTTCCACTCCCGTCTCAGCTCTTTCTGCTTTGGCTCCAAGTTTGGCGACGCAGCAGCACCAACATCAGTCGGGGACCGCAGCATCCCCGGCTACTTCTTCTGCCCGTTCTTCCTCCTCTACTTCCGACGGTGCCGATGCTGACGGTTGTTGTGGTGGTAATAATGTCTTCAGCTGCTTACTGCTGTCCCTCACAACAGCAACAAAGAACCCACTAATTTGTACCAGACTCATTTGTATGTTTCTGTATGCGCATGTAACCCACAGATCCATCAATTTAGTAACCTCCAGCGAGGCTTCCTCGCGATGTCTAACCCACAGCAACCACAGTCGGCAGTTGTCAGCCTTTAAAAATCGAAACCTTCATATCATTATGTTCCTGCTGAAATGCAAATCTAATTCCGATTGTCAGCAGGGGGCTTGAACAACTAATACGTCCCCCAACCCCATTTCCTCACGAAATCAATAAAACACAATTATGTTGAACGGAGACGTGTATAAATAAACATGCACTTAACGATTTATAAATAAACTCTTTCAGCAACCTCCAATGGTCACGCTGGTGGTTCAAGGAACCATCGACGCAGCATGGACAAGGATAAGCATCGCAACAAGGGTGACGCTGTTGATAACGAGCACAACAATGGAACGCGACACGGGGGTAAAAATAGCAGCAACAACTATCACCAGGTCGATAGCGGCGCTGCCACAGCAACCACAACAGTAACAGCTACATCAAGTAATAGTAAGGATAAGGATAAGGAGAAGTCAGACTGGGATAGTAGCACCAACTATCCACAACAACAGCAGCAGGGGGGAAAGGAAAAGCACGGTGAGTGGTGTGAACCAATAATTTGATTAATTTCAAAATCACAATCAGACAGTCATTAATCTTATCGATTGTGATTATCAATCGACATAATAAGGGGTTCAGAGTCCAAATTTCTCAATGTTTCCAAATTTCTCTAAAAATAAATATTTCCACTTTGGTCGATATTTGTTAAAATTATTACCTTACAACTTTCATAAGCATTTCTTGCATTACGTATGTCTCGCACTTTTGTCTTTTATGCGAGATCTCTTAAGATATAACAAAATAGAAACGCATTACTTAACAGGACTGATCATTTTACCATCCGTTTTTGATATTAGTGGAATATGCAGATATTTACATTAAGTCGGTCGGGACAGTTACACGCATTTACAGCGGAATAAATGACAATAAAAAACTATTTAAGTTTTGACAACTGGCTTAACTTCCCTCCCCCTAAATTGATTAATTTTGTTCAATATTTCGTGGTAAATTACGCTGTCGCTTGGGTCAACATATTTAATATGTCCAACATATTTAATATTAATTATACTTTCTCGCAGGGCGGGTTTTCTCAACGTTTTAATTAGTTTTTTCGCTTTCTTAGCACTACATTTATATTTTCTTTGCCTATTTTTTCTTGCCTATTAGGCAAAATAAAAATAGAACACTACCTAAGAAATACCAAATCATTGAATTCAAATATTTTACACATTTCGATACACATAATAGTAGGTCAAAAAAAAGCTTTACGATATTATGTAGTTTAACATTAACTTTAGAATAACATATTTCCTTACTCTTTTTTAGACAAAAAGTCTAGCAACGCTGTTCCCAATGGAAATGCTAATCACATTGAAGTCGAGGAAACTGCCAGTGTGGAGCCAGCCCCACCTGCTGAAAAGGCGCCCAAGGGTATATATAGAAAGTAAATATAAAGTTATGACTAATAAATCCCTGGATTACTTTTTAGGTCGACGAAATCGAGGCAAAAAAGATAATGCAGCAAAGGACAATCACAGCCATCAGCAGCAGCTGGCTCAGCAACAAAAGGATAAGGACAAGGAGAACACAGCCAACAACAATAACGACGCTAGCTCGGTATCATCTTCGGCGAGCTCCACATCGAGCAATGCCATCGCGCACTTGGCCAGCAAGGTGGTCTCCAAGATCTGTGAAACATGCCTCAAATTAGAGGCTGATGTGAAAAAATACCGCGCTGAAATAAGCCACATGAAGCAAATCGAAAACGAATTGCGCCAGAAGCTGGATGTTAATCTCACCAGCAAATCAGCGCTGCAGGCAAAGCAGAAGGAGTGTGACGAGCTGGAGAAGCGTATCCAAGAGCTGAACAACGCCCGACACGCCGATATGCTCAACTTGCAGACAGTGGAGCGGCGACTCAACGAGGAGCGCCGCCAGAAGCAATCCCTGGACTCTCAGCTGTCCAACGAAAAGAAGGCTCGCAAGGTGGCCGAAGAGAAGGCAGCTCGGCCCGAGTGCAGCTCACAGTGCAAGCAGCGGCGCCAGCAGATGGATGATGAGCAAAAGCGACTGCGTGGTGACCTCAAGCAGACAGAGGAAGGGAAGCAACTTGCCGTTGAGCATGGACGAAAATTGGAACAAGAGGTAATGTTATTAATGTTTCATTATGAAATTCAGCTTTTGATAGTCAGACATATTTTGAACTATATGTACCAAAGTGTGGTAATCTCAAACGAAATGTATTTACTATGTTCAGTACCGCATGCTGGAGGCCAAACTACGGAATCGCGAGTCGTCGCAGCCTGACCCTGAAATGCTATTGAACGCCCTTGCTGCCATGCAGGACAAGAACGCAACGCTGGAGAAGAATCTATCCGCAGAGACGAGAGTCAAGCTGGACTTGTTCTCGGCTCTGGGCGCTGCCAAGCGTCAGATTGAAATATCTGATAGTAAGTATCCATTCCGTTTCATGGAAAAGGAAGTTAGATTCTCATTAACTTAATTACTTTCGTAGACCATCGTCGCTCCAAGGAGGATGAGGTCATTGATCTCAAGGCAAAGATTGCCCAACTTCTGGCAGTGATGCCAGACAACTTGTGCATGAACACAGGCCCACATGGACCGGCAAGCAGCATTCTGCGCATGAACGACACGCCGCCGCTGCAGTCGGGTCCTGGACCGTCCTCGCCCATGCTCAGCCTTAGTGCTGCGCAGGAGTACCAGCAGCATCAGCAGCACCAACAGCATCAACAACATCAGCAGCATCAGCAACACCAGCAACACCAGCAGCATCAGCAGCAGCACCAACAACAGCATCAGCAACATCAGCAACACCAGCAACATCAGCAACATCAGCAGCATCAGCAACATCAACAGCATCAACAGCATCAGCAACACCAGCAGCATCAGCAGCAGGGTGGAGGTGGTCCCGTCTCTCAGCAGCAAATGGTACCAGTCAGCGTGGCTGCTGCCTTTCAGGTTGCTGCAGCCAATGCTGCTGCCGCCAACGGAAATGGGGGCTCAACGCTGGATCCCAATGCTAGCGTGTACACGCCCAAAACAGGCAACATGATGGTGGTGTCGCCGGTGGGCATGAACCCCAATGGGGGGGATGCCTGACGCCATCAGCAGCAGCAGCAGTCCTTGACGTCGTCGTCGTCATCGTCCTCGCACCAGCATCTACGACGACAAGTTTGAGATTATTATACTTTATATGAATTAGGGAAAGCAAACGCAAACAACCGTCGCCACAGCAAACGATGAGCAGCCCGATAACCGGTGCCGGATCCAAGAAGTTTGCATACAATATCTGAATGTCCGTAATATGAATAAGCAGTTTCCTTTAAAATTTAAAAACCGCCACAGAAGCGCAGGCAGCACTGATGAATGCAGCTCAATATTGCTGAAAATTTCCTGTTTCACGTTTTCAAAATCTCTTACCAAATCAGTTTCCTCATTGAATTCGGCATTCCAATTGAAATTATTTTTGAAGGCCTTTATGACTCACACCAATTGAAAATTTTCAACTCATTCAACCCACTGTTTTAAATCGGCTGCCCCGCCAACACAACCTACACACACATTCAGTATCTCCCTCTAACACGAAAAGTAAATGATTACTTTAACAAGATGATTTGAAAACTCGAATCACATTTGAAAACAATAAGAACAGAACACAAATTTCTAAAAATAATAACAAAATGAAAATGGCGATTCGTATTTTTAATTGATGAAGAATGCTAAGGAACTTTTTGTAATCCTTTGTACAATGTTTTTTATTTTTACCAAACGCTGTGAGAGAGTTGGACCAACCTTAGTGATGGCCTTTGATCTTGGGGAGATGGCATTTGCAAACGTGCCCTGCTTGACCTCTGCCCCTTGGTTCAATGGAATATTTTTGAAGTCTGCGCCCTTGATTTATTATCTCATTAAATTATTTTTGTTATAAAACCTTAAATGTATGCTATAATTTAGAACTTATCATTTTTGAAACACAAACATCAAACGAAAATCGATTTTCTTTTAAGTTTTAATTTATTTTTGTTTAGTTCTGCTGTTCCTAAGAAAGAAAAAATCGAAAACAAAAGAAATACTTTGGTTTATTTACGAGAAGTAAAACGTCGACTATTTTGTTTAATAATAAAATAACCTTTCGCTGCAAGAAGCAAGTACACATCATTTTGTTTAATTTTACTTTCCGGTTTTTTTAATTTGTTTCCTTGGTTCCTAGCAGCCCTTGTTTGAGTTGCAACTTTTGCTTTTCCCCAGCTGCCCGATACGTTTTACTAGTCCCGTTTCGCAGGGATATATATTTCCCTTAGAAAATTCCAGAAAATTAATTTAACAATGCTGATGAACTTTATTTATGGTGTGCTGGAAGCCATCTCGAATGCAATCTACACAACAGTGGCCACCGTTTGGCAGATTGAACGTAAGTAAATAGCTCTCGACTACGTTGCCCCTCGCCATCTAACCATCCGAACACACAGAGGCCGTGATCAATCTGATGATGTCCACTTTTCTATTTATATTGGGCTTAGCCTGCCACCCGATTATGGTGATTCCTATGCTGTTGGGCTGCTACTACGTTTTGCGCAACTTTTGGTACCGTCGCGGAAAAAGCCCCAGGGTAGAGCACCCGGTGGATATCGATGGCGAACCAAGGGCTGGGCTCCGCAATATGCCGCGAACTCCACGGCTTCCCACCTATCGGAGCTTTGGGAACCTCTCCAATCCTGGCAACGACCCACAAATGAATAACTGACCAAAAATATTCGGTACAACAGGCGAATACACGATTCTTTTGGCCTTAATATCTTAAAATACGCTATTACTGGCAGTTACACGAAAGGATGTTAGCGCTCTTAAAACAAGGCTTTCTGTAAATACTGCAAAGTCTGTGATGGAATCTTGATTTTAACTTTATGCCATTCCATCTATCGCTTCTTGTGTAACGACCACCACAGTGCAGTGTTTAAAATGATCAAAACATTTCAGACCAGCCACAGCGATATTTAGAAAAATAAAGTTAAACTGAGCGACTAGCTCACATAAAAACATACGACATTCCAAACATTTTCAAGAGCAAGAGACTTAACTATTGTTGAAACAGAAAACAAATAAATAAACTCAAAAAAGTAAATACAATGTATTACATTTTTTAAAATTTATTATTATATTTTCATTTTATGTTTTCCGACAGTACAGTCGTCCGGCTTTTATCTGCGCAAGCCAATTTTATATAGTAGAGGGAAAATGACTGAATCGGAATTCAACCGTTAGCACCTATCGTGAGATGAATAGACATTTAAGTTTCCATTAATGACGATGAGGAACGAAGATTAGTGCAAGAATCGATGAATCCTTGTCCCACTGGATTGGTATAATTGATTTTACTAAAAGGGCTGCTACTAACGCTTCGGTCTTAAATTATAGATTCATTTGCCAACTAGAAAATTCGATAAAAGATCGAGGAAAGTCTATAAATAGGTAAATAATTATTTAAGAATACGAATTTTTAAAGGGCTAACATGAGGACTTTCTTAGTAACTCTCTTAGGACAAATTTATTTCAAAGAAATTATATGATTCCCCTGGGTTTATTATCTCAACATATGCAAATATCGATAAATATATGTGCGGATGTGACCGCTCTTAAAACTAGGCTTTATATAAATACTGTGGAGTGTGGAATGGGATTCCTTCAGGGCTTAAGCAGGCTGGCGGTGTCCAACTTGCGAAGGGCTTCTCGTGCCTTGAGCATAGTGACGTTGTTCGACTGACCAACGAGACCGGCCAAGTGCCGTATATACTTATCAATGTTGCCCACACTTGGACCACTTGGTTCCAGAGGCGGCAGAGAGACTCCACCGAGGGCTGTCACCAGTTTTTGACGCAGGCCCCGCAAGTAGGCCTCCAGACGTCGGTTCTCCTCCATCAGCTCGGTCACCTCGCCCATTACTTTAGCGTAGCCGGCCTTTGTATTGTCCACATGCTGTTCGAGCACTGCATTTTGTTGCTCCAGATCGGTCTTGGCCTTGCGCAGTGTGCGCAACTCGTTTTCCGTGCTGCGATTGTGCTCAATAAACTCGTTGGTGTATATGGGTATCTCGCCCGGCTGAAGGGGACGTGGGGCGGGCGCCGCATTGGGCGGAGCGGGCTGAACTGGTGCCGGAGGTGGTGGTGCCGGAGGCGGTGGTGTCTGGGCACGCTTCACCTTGGCCAGAGGGACGTCGTCCGGATCCTCGCTCTGCCGCTTCACCGGCTTCGCCTTGGACTTTTTCGCCTTGCCTGAACTGGCTTCACCCTTCAGTGTCTTCTCCTTGGGAGAACTCTCCAATTTGGTTGCTTTCTTGGCCTTGGCCAACTCCTTGGCAACAATTTCGGGGTGTTCCTTGAGAAACATTTGCAGCTGCTCCTGATATCTACAAAAAATTAAAACATGTTTATTGAGTTTTGCCTGTCTGTCCGTTGGATTTTGAGTAGCCAGGATCTTACATGGCTTTGTCCTTGGCTGCGGCCTCCATGTAGGGAACCTTGCGCTCCTCGGGCAGCTGGTGCCATTCCTCGCCAATAATCCTGGTGTGCTCCAGTGCTGTTCGTTGTGGCTGCTCCCGTCGCAGTTCCTCACGCCGGTCGTTCATGAACCGGACGTAACCATTGAGAGGCATTTTCGGTGCTCCGGCCACGTTGATCCGGCGCTGGCCAAGCTTCTTGAGCTCAAATCCCACGGCGGACTCCGAGTGGCGACCTTTTGGATTCTTGGTTTTCTTTTTTCCCTTGGCTGGTTTATCATCTTCAAACTGTTCTATGGCCGCAGAGTCCAGAGATTGGGATGCGAGCGGCATTGATTCAGTCGATTCCATAACCACATCTGGGTTTTCATTGGCCGGCTCCGTCATATTTGCTCCTTTTAGGAGTCCTTTGTATTTAAAGTTGCTATTTTTATTGCAAATTAGGCAGGTTGCGATAGTGGGACCAGCGCTGCAGAAACCAGATACATTTTGTAAACAATAACTTTTTTGGAACTAGTTCGAAACAGAATTGGTCTATGTGCCTGCATTAGGGTGGCTCAATTTCTGCATTTTTATGGGCATTTTTTGAAATAGTATAGAGAAAACGGTATAAAAAACTTAATCTTTTGAATTGGAATATGATTTTTCAAAAATGGGTTTAACGTGATTTTTCGAATCGATTTAAACACCAATTAATGTAGGAAACTAACTTTTCATTCATTAATTTAAAACTTAATTAATTTACATTTCGGTGAAAAAAATTCTCCGATTTGTTTAAAATTAAGTTTTAAGACGAATATAGGTCTTAATTAAACAAATAGTGAAAATCTTTAGAATTGAAAAAGGGCAATTTCTCTCTAATAAAAATGTAAATTCTTTCAAAAAACAAATGCTTTTATTTCATGATTTCATTTTCCTGGCAGTCACTTGTTGTAATGATGCGTAGTCTGATATATACTACATATGTACATACATATATGTAATTAAAAGGAAATGACTCATATGTTTACATTTTAAGCCGCCACACCATCTACGCAGAAATTACGTAAGAAATTATGGCGTGATTTCAATGTTTTGGGCAAATGGCGTGATTAGCAGTTTTATCACAGGCAGTTCATAGTTCTGCGTTTGCCTATAATAAATTAAGTAAATAAAACAAGTATTTGTTGTGTTGTGGTTTGGTTTGGTTTATATTTTGAATATGTTATTTTTTTCGAATGTTTCGCAAATTCTTTGAGCACAATATAATTTATCGTAAGCCTATGTGGTTAGAGATTGTTAAATATAAATGGAAACCTACAGCTAAACTTAGCGCCTCTAGAACAATATCATATATAAAGCCATCGATTAAGAATTTCTGTACAGCCTATTAACTAAACAACTTAAACCTACAGCGGCCGGCCAAACTTAACAGTAGAACAGAGAGACAGAAAAAGTTGTGAATACAACGGGGATCAAACTTAGATCAAACTGGGGAACAGGTCGTCGATGTTGCTCTCCCAGGGGAAATCCTCCTCGTCCGTGGGCAGTGTCAACACCGAGGACATTGGTGAATTCAGTATGGACTCGTACCCGTGGTCCGAGGTGACCGAGTGGAGGGATAACGCGGGGGATTTGGCCAGCGGGGATATCGCTTTGACGCGCGGACGGAGAAACCGATCAATGGGATCGAAGCTGCTCTCGTCGTCCGAATCATCGGTGGCGTTTACCATGTTGAGGTAGACCTGTGACGGAGACGTCGCTGGTGGCGGACACTTCATGACCACTTCCGTAGAGTCGTCACCAGCGGTGACTCCGTCACAGTAAATTTCCTCCACGGCCTCATTCACCGGCACCGCATCGCCGTCCATCACGATGGTAATCGAGTTCGTCTTGGCATCATAGGTCCCGTACACTGTGTCCGGAGTGGCCTGTAGGAAAGAGGCGGTCGCTTTCGCTTTGATTGTGGCTGTCGTCGAGGCTGGCGCTGCTAGTTGTGGGTTTCCATTCATCTCCAACATCTGCACATTTAGGCTGATCTCGTGCGCCTGCTCGGGCTCCTCCTTCAAGCCATTAGTTCTATGCCCGCCGGATTCCAGGCGCTCTGCTGTGGGCCCCACCACTGGTCCAGGCAATCGCTCTGCGTCGCCTGCATTTTGGGCAGCAGTTGGGCTGCCCTCTTCAGCGCCTGTTTCCAGGTCTGCTGTGATATCTGCGAGCAGACTTTCGGCCAACTCCTCGAGGCGCTTGACGTCGAACTCTTCGTCGTCGCCAAGTAAGTCTTGTAGAGTAGGCAGAGCGCTACAACCTTCCAGAGAGAGGCCATGCTCCGGCTGCTCTTCAGCTGCTCCGCCAGCAGACGCGCTGACGACTGTGTGTCCACCTGTTGTATACCCTGCGGCAGAGGGTCAGCTTTGGATGCTGCAGATCCAAGGTTTGTGGACGCACAGCCCTCAGCGCCTGCGCTGGCGTTGGATTGGCTGATGCTGGTGTTGTATTGCTGTTGGTGTTGCTTTAGTTCGGCGAGTTCCTGGCGCAGGAGCTCCAGCTCCGAGTCCAGCTTGTGGTTCTTGGCCAGCAGCGACTCGTTGATGGCCTGTAGACTGTCGCATTTGTTTTGTAGTATTTCCGTTTTGTCATTGAGTTCCTTGATCTCGTAGTCCATCTCTTCCATGCGCGCCTTCTTCCGGTCGCGTGATGTTTGGGCGGCTACTCGGTTCTTTAGCTTCCTGTAGGATTTAGAGGATTTAGTAAAAGCTTTTGTGGCCTGAGGGTTTTGTAGACTTACTTTCTCTGCACTTTCTCCTCCCAGGTGAGATGATCCAGGCGACGTTTCTTTGCCTTGGGTGCTGATACAGCCAGGTTGTCGTCATCCATGTTCGACGAGGATGCGTATCCTGAGCTGGAGGGTGTGGGCGAGGCTGAGGGCGTGGCCGCCTTGAGCAGGGCCGCTGTGAGGGGGGCGGGCCGCAGTTTGGGCAGATTATTCGATGCGATTCCTGTCCGCGGCACGGCTATCAGCACGGCATTCGCTGTGGGGGCCATGGCTTACTGATTGGGGATAAATAATAAACTGATTTGTGCTGGGGCAACTGTGAAAAGCGCTTTTCCACTTAGAGTTGCATCGTTTATGTGAACTTCCGCTGAGTTTTGGTCAACTTAAGTCGTCTCATGGGCATCGACTGCGCTTCTCGGACGCTCTGACGGTTTCGATTTCTTCATCGCCTCCAACTCGGGGTTTTCTGGCTCTGTCTCACGCAATTTCCTCATCCACCTTTGTAATATCGACCAACTGGTTTTCCTTTTTGCTGACGTGTTCTTTTCCGAATGGTCTGTGAAAAGCTGACGTGGTTTTCGGTGGTGGTAAGTACTGCTTAAAAAACAACGGTGACACTATCGATTACTGATCGGGCAATTCAAGAACATCGATATTTACTCTGAACAATTGTTCTTATAATGTAATGTAATTATTAGTTCGCTAAGGGATCTTTTTTTATTTAAAGATCTCGGTCTTTACCAAAAACAATATAAAAGCATTTGTGCTTCTTAATATTATATACTCTTAAACTTAAAAAGTTTTGTACTACCGATGTTTTCCTATCAAATAATTCAAAATATCGAAGGCTCCATCCCTAAGATAAATACCTACTACGCATGCCAGCGTGACCGTCCTATTGGGAAAGTGGAACGATAAAATAAGAGATGGTGAGATTTTTAAATATTTTTGCAACGTTTTTAGAAAATTAATGTAACAAAGCAAATTAATGGATAAAATACTTTAATTGTTTATATACACACGGCCTAATATAAATTTAATAACTTGGTTAGCAATAACAATAAATATTTAAATTGTATAAAAAATTAGAAAAAAATCGTTTTTATTAACAAGATTTAAATTTCAAATTAAATATTTTTTCCTCCGCAGCTAAAACAATGTTTGTTGGGGCTTCTTTCCCTTTTCTCTTTCTGCCTGGGCCAATTCCTCCTTAATAACCTCGGCGATGTCATAGATTTTGGCCTTGTGCTTGAAGGTTTAAATTTAATGTAAAAGTATACGAACGTGAAAAACATATGCCTACCTTTAGTTGGTTGATGTAGAAGGTAAATGGAATGTTTCCAGTAATTGGATCAATGGCAACTGGCCACATAGCCTTCAGTTCTTCTTGGGTAAAAGGTTCGCCTTCCTCTGCCATCAGTTTGCCGAAATACTCCTTGGTCAGATACTTCTTGTTTTCTGGATCTAAGATCTCAAAGGCCTCTAAAAGCTTTTCTGTCGAGGCTGGTTCCATTCTGTGGGTAGTAACTTTAAAATAAATATTGTATTTCTTCCTTTTAAAATAAAAAAAAAACTTTTAAAAGCATATCTATACTTAATACTAACAAACTTGGTGCAAACGCCGTCATTAAAATAAAGAAAAAACTGCGCTAATATAATCCAAACTTTAAATTATTTACAGCTAAAGCTAATTCGAGTGATCTTACTGGCGATCCATGAGCAGTTGGGAGACGTGGGTCACAAACTTGGTTAAATGGGACTCCCCCGGATAATCCACGGACTCGGTGGCCTTGATGACTTCTTGGACCTCCTTCTCGGAGGGCACACAGCCCAAGAATCGGAGGACGTGGCCAACATTGCGGGTATCAATATACTTATCACCGTGCGTGTCGAAGATGCAAAATGCTTCCGCAATCTGAGACTCAAGTTCGTTGTTCAGAGTAACTATTGAGGACGGGAGGTTTCAAGCGGAAGACAAGGGCCATACCATAAATTGCTTACCTCCAACTTCCATGGCGAATATAAATTTTAATAGTTATTTAATTTTGGTGGTATCTTCAAACGGTTTTCACTGATAATTTTTAATTTACTTTTAGTTTTACTTTTAATTTTTAACGTGTCTAACACGTACTTTGACTGAAAAACAAGTAACTGCTTGCTTATTTAATTTTGAATTTGAAAATAACGATATCAAATCGAAGAAGGCGCAAAATAACGGTTATCAGCGAATGGTCACATTAGTCGTGGTGAATGCTCACCGATTAACGCTTCTCGATAATTGCCTGGCATGCAACCGTGTTGAGCGTCGCGTTATTTTGTTTTCTGTTTTGTTTTTCGTTTCGTGTTTTTAATTTTTCCCCCATTTATTGTGCGTTTTTGTTAATTAAGTTAAAACAATGAGTTTACTAGTGGTTTTGTGATTGTGAAGAAATAAATGTGGGGATCGTTTCAGTGCTCCTGTGAGGACGACGAGGGTGCATTTATTTGTTTGTAGCTGTGTGCGTGGGCATCAGCAACAGGTTTTCCAACTCAACTCGCGCCACCTCAGTTTTCATTTGTTTTCGATATTCCGTGGAGTTCGGTTCGCATCGCGGGAAAATTGAATTGCAATTTAATGCAACTTTCAATGGAAAATGAACGTAGCCATTAGTTGGTTAAAGTGACGCGGCAACGGCAACCCGTTTTAACGATCGCAGGTGTGTTGAACGTCGGTCGGCGATTCCAACGGGTTTTCCAGGAGGTTTTCGGCCCATAACAAGTTCAAACTTAACTTGGCCATATAATCACAGTTAACAAGTGCCACCTCAGTTCGGATACGCGTTTGTGAAAAAATCCTCTCCTCAAACACAAAAAAAACGCCATAAAAATGGAAAGTGTTTAATACTCGATACTGATGTGCTACTAACGACGATCATCGATCCCTCGGTTTAGGCCCGCTTTCGAGCCAAATAAATAAACAAACGGCAATAAGAAAAGGTGCGAATTTTGAAAGTGGCTACCGGCTACTTGAAAAGTGACTGAAAATTGTTATTATCTCTCGTTGACATTTTTCCAATATTTGCCCATGGCATTGACCACCACTCGTTAGAAAGTTTATCTCTGATCGATGGCAATTAGGGAGGTGGGCATGAAAAGATAAATATTTGCGAACGTATCTGGCACTCGACTGTTGAAAGTGGATTTCCACATTTGGTTATTACTTTTCTCGGAATACATTAAAATAAATGAATGTTTAAGTCTTTAGTAAATTAATTATAGCTCGGGGTATGAGTTTTGCACTTTTGGTTTAGCTTTTTATTTCAAGTTTAAGTGTAGTGGAAAATAATATTTATAAATTTGGAAAAAAGTCCTACAGGATTTTGTTCGTTTTTTGGGTTTTTAAGAACAATTTTTTCAAATCCTAATCTTTGTTTGGTTTTTTAACGTTTACTTAACGTTAAAAAGATTTTTAGGAAACAAACAAAAGATATTTAAAAACTTGTTGATATTCTTAAAATTTAATCTTAGTTAGAAATAAAATGACAATTAAATCATTAGTTAAATGTTAAATAAATTAAACATATAAAATATGTCTCCCTTGTCAACATTACGCCAAGCGGTTTTGGCCGCATCGAGATCTGCATCCAACTAACTAACTTCACTGAAAATCTCAGGCGGCCATAAACGCTGATGATGAATTTCCCCCATGTAGTGAAATTGTGGGCTTTGCTTTTGGGTTTTCACTTGATTTGCAGTTGCCGCTCCCCCTTTTTAGTGGTGGTATGGGTACTTTCAGGTCGTACGCCGCCTGCTTGTCGAAAATGCCGTGAGCCCCTTTCCTTTCCTTTGCTTTCCAACCCGCTCCTTCCCCGGTTTTTCTCTAATTCTCTATGCAGTTTGCGCTGTCCGCCAAACGACAGGTGGCTGGGCACATTTGCGGTCTGCAAAAGGTCTTTGTTTTAGGTCTCTTTGAGGGAAGTGGAACTACCACCATCAGTACCAGCAGATCGTTCCTGTTACGTGTTACAGAGAAAGAAACTTTTAGCGAAACTAATAATCTTTTTTTTTTAATATGTACACAAACATGAACTACAAATTCTTTTTTTTAATAAATGGACGGATAGAGTGTAGATATGGGTACTTAATTTAAAGCTATTACTAAAATAAAATGAGTAATCTTTTCCTTTCAAATTATAAATTTAAAACAAAAAAAGTGCAATTTTGTTATGAAAATATTTAAATTTGTCTTGTATGACAATTTAAATGTTATTTTCTGAATATTTTCAGTTGAAACATTAACCAATTATTACCTTTAACACAATTATAATTAAATAACTTTTTTATACAATTAACTTTGAAAAAAACAGATTTGTGATTAGTGACTTTTACAAGCGCAGCGAGAGAACCAATACTATTCTTTTTTCATTGTGTACTTGTGGGGGTTGCCTTTCGGTTTTTAGTTTTCGGTTTTCTGGCGATCTGGTGGCATGCTCTGAAAAACTTGTTTCTCGCTGTTGTTGTTTTGTTTGTCGTTTCTGGAATTCTTTGTTGGCGGTGCCCGCAGCTCTTTTTCTGCCTCGCCGTTCTCCTCCTGCCACTGTATGTACTCCTCGATCGTCTTCTGTTTTTTTCTCATTGGAGTAAATTTTTCGCTTGAGGAATTTTATGTTGCTGCCGTGTTTGATGCCCCTTTTTTCGCACAGTTAATTTTCTTATTCTTTTCCCCTTACTCATAATTGTGAGTCGTGAGTCAACTTATTCATATTTTACTCGGGGAAACAACAATTTTGATTAAATATTTATAAATACAAATTTACAAGAAGCGAGAGTCGAGAAATTGGTTCAATCTTGCTTGAAAATGAAAATAGTATTCAAACCAGTTCACTCAAAAGCTGAATTACAAATAATTAAACAAAGAAAGTTTTTTATATCAATCAAAAAACGCCAAGCACGTTTTTTAAAACGCACTTGAAGGCTGCAAAAAAGTTTAATTATTTCAATGACATTAACTGGCGAAAATTTAAGAAAAACTTTGCCGTGGAATGGGCAGAAAAATAATTATAATTGTATGTCTGTCATGGGAAAGTCGAAGCAAAGCTCTGTTAAATTGCAATGTCAACAATGAGAGGGGTGCGAAGGGGATTGGATACCGACTAGCCTAACTGAACAGTCTGTTGATTGGCACCACTTGGAGCTACAGTCTGGGGTAAACCGCCGAACAATGATCGTGTCTGGCCTGGAGCTGTCTAACTGGATAGTTTGCTTTGTTGGTTTGGTTTAGAGTAGCGGTGCAGCAGGAGGAGATAGAGGTGTAGGCCCAAACTATGTTAGATATCCACAAGAGTATTCGACGATGATTAAAAAGCACGCAGTTTAAAAGTCGAAGATAAACGAAGGTCGAAGCAGAGGAGTCTCTTAGAGCCACCAGAAATTAAAGTTCTTTGCGATTTTAGTTTCAATGGGAAAAAAGGCAACACAATGTTTTAAGTTTTTAGGGATTTTCTGTTTTATAGGGAACTTTACATTCTTACTATTGCTCATAAAAATAACTTCAGACGCTCTTAAAGGAATTATAAATTGACCAGTCCTGTGCTTGGAAATACAGTCATCAACTTTTAACAAAAACAAGAATGAATATTCTGTAAAGTTATGGCTTTTCCAATCGTTCAGTTATATGGAAGCTATAGGATATAGTCGGCCGATCCCTATAAAATTTGGTAGGTCGGATTGATTGGCCAAATATAAAACCCATAGCAAATCCCAACTTCCTAACTTTACAAACACCAAAGTTATGGCATTTCCGATCAATCTGTTATATGGCGGCTATAGGATATAGTCGCTCGATCCGGCTCGTTCCGACTTACCTGCAATAGAAAGACAACTTTTGGGAAAGTTTCAAGCAGTTTCAAATACATATCAATTAAAATTTTCATAATAGCATCAAAACTGTGGCCACAGCTTGTGGCTTGTGGGCGTCAAAGGGGGCGTGGCACCATTTTGAAACATACTTGCGCTGCGTAGGAACTCCAAAAATCTACATGCAACATTCCAATCTTCTAGCTTTTATAGTTTCCGAGATCTCAGCGTTCATACGGACGGACAGACAGATGGACAGACGGACATGGCTAGATCGACTCGGCTAGTGATCCTGAACAAGAATATATATACTTTATAGGGTCGGAAACGCTTCCTTCTACCTGTTACATACTTTTGCACGAATACAATATACCCTTTTACTCTACGAGTAACGGGTATAATGACTGGTAAATTTTAAAAATAAATAAGTTCCGAGTACTCGAACGTCCCAAATACAACTACAGTTTTTGTTATTGTTTTATTATTGAGGCTTTAATTATTCTATTGTTTATACACATGGTAATTGTTTATATTACTTTGCATATTGCTAATTAATGGTTTCTCTTGTGATTGTTTTGCAGCTTCCCGAAACCGGAATGGAAGCTCAATGACAAATTAATTAATAAAACGGCAATATGAAGAAGCATTCAAAGTATATCTAAACATTCCCGCAAACAAGCGAAACAAAGCGAAGCCGAAACAATATAAAAAGTATTAAATAACGATTCTCGAATGCAATGGAAAGAAAAAACGGTAGTGGTTAAAAGCGATTGGACTGTGTGAGAGAGCGTGATAGAAGCTAAAGATACCCGGCTTAAAATGCCAATAATCACGGCCACGACAACGGCGACAGCCGGTGGAGGAGCAGGTGTGGCAGCTAGGGGCGTGGCTACCGCCAAGTCTCCCACCGATTACCTAATGCTCCAGCAGCAACAGACGTCGCACCAGCAGCAGCAGCAGCACTTCGGCAATCACTTCTATCAACAACAGCAGCCACAGCAGTTGGCGCCTCTGAATGCTTCCCACCAACACCAGCACTCCCATCCACATCCACATCCACATCCTGTTGCTGCTCCGACCAGTTTTGCAACATTTAACGGAAACTCGAATCTAAATTCTAGCCTTGCCAACGGAAGCAGCAGAAAATTCAATTGCAGCCGTGACAACGTGGACGATAATGCCGATGCCGCTGACGTTGCGGCAGTTTCCCAGACAATGTCCGCTGGCTTAGATGTGGTTGGTAACGGGAATGGGAACGGGGACAAGTCTGCCGGCTTAGCGCCACCAGGTGGCCATCATCTACGCCCGCCACCACCGCCTGCTCTCAAGAAATCCTCCGTATCCGCTTCAGCAGTAGGGAACTCTGCCTCGCGTGAGGATGTCGCCTCGTTGAGCGGCACCTCCTCGCTGAACAGCCAGATGTCAGTGCACAATCAGTTCATCTCCGGATTGCCGAGCAATGGCATTGGCAGCAATGGAACCAACGGAGGCCCTTCCACCGGACGAGGCGGTCCACCCAGTAGCATTCTGAAGGGCAGCAAGGGTAAGACATCAAAGTCTTTTTTATTCATAAAACAAATAAGCTAGCAAAAACTACATTAGCAGCAAATTAGGTCTAAAACATTTCTGTAAGTTCTTAGTAATATTTCTTATAAAACGAGGTTTAGTTTCCTTTTATCAACGGCTTTTCTATGCTTTTCAATTTTGAAAAGAATAGAACAATTCATTCAACAACAAATTCCAGACTTAAATCAATATTTGGGCAACATTATTGATGTTTTGGGACACTCTTGTGACAAATTTGATGAAATCAAAAAAGTCAAACTAACTAAAATAATGATTTGCATTAATCTTAGACAAAGCTTAAATTTTGTTTGTTTTTAAATTTGTAACATGTTTGTACGAATTTACTGTCATGTGAAGTTATCAATAATGCAGTTTGTTGGTTCTTTTGGCTGCCCAAAGCTACGCTCCAAATCGAATTTCCATTTACTTTTCGCCCCATAAAATATTAAAATTAATTTGTACTGGGCCGGCTCTTAAACCTAATTTAGGGCGTTTGTCTCAAGTGACTCATTTCCGCCCCCACATGGCCAAGAGTGATTCGTCTGAACACACACTCCCACTTTGGATTTAGTTTCAATTACGATTTCGGTTTCAATTTCAACTTGAAATGCACTTGTGCTGCCATGAAATTAGTTTGCTCACAGCGGGGAGTTAACAAAAAGTAAACACAAAGTACCGAAACAGCGGGTGGAAGATTGTGTGTTGTCGAAGCACTTTATGTGCCGTCTTTTTTCGGTGTTTTTGTTTTGATAGCCACGTGCCTAAAAAGAAGAACTGCTAACAAATGTTTCCATGTAAACCAAAACCCACTTTCTTGTTAACCTTCTTCTGCTTGAGATGGTTGTGGGTCTTCGTTCTTAGCCAGTTCTTAGAGGACTAAGTACTACACTTTCAATATTACAGTCGGTTTCACCTTCTTGCCGGTTCTCTACTCCCGTTTCATTTAATCCACCTGTCATCACTTTCTCACATCTGCAGAGCAGTGGAAGCCCCTGAACCTAGTCGATCCAGTTGCCATCTAACCCAAGTGAGCTGCATTGTTTCTCGCCGTCTCTCGAATGAATTATCGTAAGACGACATTCATGAATGAAACCCAGAAAGCTGGTTTATTTTAAAACAACGAGTGCGGCGGGGGGAATTAGGTAACCTCGATTTTGTCACTGATTGACTTAATTCGTGAGTGCGGGGGGCTCGTAATTGCCGGTCTAGATGATGTGGGAATTTAATAATAACCCATCGACACTAAACTTGTAGGTGTGATGGGGGCTATTAAATTAAAATGTTCAACCAAATTATTGGTTGACCGTTTAAAACAAGGCATATCCATATTTGTTATCTTGGGCAACAAATTAACTAATGCATTTATGTGAATAACCAAATAAAAATGAATATTAAGAATTTCATAACCCTATAAGACTACAACTTCCAGTCCATTATTAACTTGTTAGTGTTTGTAAATACTCTTGAAGACTCACATCATCTTCCATTTTAAACAAAACCCACTCGTACTCATTTCGGAATATACTTTGGACAACACCATCTAGATGTAGATGGGAAATCATTTTCGGAAGTTGGGCAAGATAGGTGTTTAGTATGTATCTGAATCATCTGTTAAGCGTTTGCCGCTTGGCTTAATTTCCATTTTATTCTGTCCCATTGTTAAGTGGTCGTTGAATTTGGATATCGCGTTTCGGGGTCGAGTTAGTCTGACTTCAGCAACTTAATTAGAGGAGCTGGTGTGATTTTATAAGAATATGCGAAACTCCACCTGCGCAGGAGAAATATTTTGGTTGGGGAATGCCAGGAGTTTCAATAGCATCAAGTGGTGGCAACGAACTCGACATGGACTCGAACTCACCCACCTGGAGAACTCGCTCACCTTTCCACACCGCACATTGTATCTTGCTTATCATTTACGCCTCACGTCAGTGGCAATTAGCAGTGGAGAACCTTCGGTGGCGTCGGCGTTGAAGTTGCTTCACTGTCCCCTGCATCATATGCAGCGATTATTAATTTCTTGATTACGACAGCAGAAGGGTAACTCTGGTTTATGGCGTGCCATGTAAGCCAAGTTAACGAAGCAGCAATGCCAATTAGATGCTATCATTAGGCGGCGCAGGGAGTTCGTGAGGAAGTCGTCACAGATGACACAGGGATTATAGCTTCGCCGCCCTTTTTTCCCTTCGAGAACAAAGACTTTGACTTTGCTTCTCCCAAGTGGGGGAATCGACTGGATGACATCAATTGAGTGGCATGGGCTCTGACCGTAGTTCTTCTGCCTGGAGGCTTCGCATTCCAATGCGGGCGAAGTAATTGCCGGCGAGCATTCAATGGACCCGCTACAAACAAAGTCGAGCAGCAAGTAAGTTGCGATTTCTCTGCTCCGCTAATTGAACGTCGACTTGGATTCATCCAAAGTGCTTATTGCGTAACTCGCAGAACTGCAGTGGCCAGCGAGTCTAGCGGTCCAGACCAAACAGTTATAGGCAGAACAAGCATCTCGTTACTGGATAATTTATGGTGACGTTACTCGGGAATTATACAAATTAAAGTTGGAGCGACATGGGGCTTTCACCTTGTCATTTTTAAGTTTTGTGTAGTAGAGAAAACTAACAGAAGTTGGGATATAAATGCAAGGGAATGTACGCAATTAAAAAAAACATATACCTATTTAGAACAAGATTTTGAATGGCGCCTTAATCTAAACGGGTATTATTAATACAATATTATGATTCCACCTTAAAATGTTACTCTACAGTCGGGGTTAGAATAATTAAACTTGGTGATATATATGTTTTATAGGGTTTGAAACTATTGCACAGTTCGAAGCCTACTTTCTTTCTGATTTTAAGTAAGAAAATGATTTCCTTGAATTGTGAACTAGTATTGTCATCCAACTTGTCACAAGATCGTGCCGAAACCCACGATCCGAATGACAACTTACAAGGTGCAGTCCAAACGTACATGAATAAACTTTAAAGTATATCAACGTCCCCGATCACGAGCACAATTTTTTTAACGACCTGTGATAGATTTCTTCCGACGGTTTGGTTGTGATCATATTTCTTGTATTCAAATAAAAATGGAATGGAATTTAAAGTTTAAAAGTAGATCCTATTCTTAATGGCATGTGTATATATATACATATGTGTACAACGAATTTCATCAATAAGTTTTTCTGGTAAAAGCGGTCAATCCTTAAAAGTATAAGGGATCGGAGAAACCGTTGTGAAACCAAAGTGGGTAAAATTGGCAATTAGGAAAAGGTAGTTTAAACAGCACTTACATACGAGCAAGTTCAAAACGGCGAACAACTACTGGGAGCACGACACCGTTACCGTCACGCCCCCTGGTACTATACTCACGACCTGCCACGCCCCCCGACCCTCGCAAGACGCGTGCGTAACTTTGCGTTCGACTTTTGTTTTCCATTCGGGTCAAAGTCAATGAACTGCCGAGTATTTCGGCTCGACTTTACGTAATTTGTGGGCTGCGCATTCGGGGATTGTTTTTAGTTGCTTCAATTGTACCACATGTTGGCCAAGAGCTCCCCGTTTTCCAGTTCTTTGTTGTGTTTTGCTTTAATTATTTTTAGACTTTTACCGACGCAATAATGCACTCCCGATCAGTCTTCAGATTGAACTGTCTTGATATGATTTTAGCTTAACGATTCCTCGAATTACTCTTTGAATCTCGTGCGCAATTAGCCACAATCTGGGGAAATAATCCTTTGCCAATCATTATCATCATCAGCACTGACTACGGCAATCCCTGTTATTATGAGTAATGGATATTTATTGTGTATCATATAGCCACAGACCGGGTTTTCTTCTCTTTTTCGACTCTTTCTTTTTAAATTCGAGATCCATTCGGGCCAACATTCCCTGCAGATGAGTCACTTTGTGTACTGGGTTTCCAGATATGCGATCTGTTTGGGCGAGTGAACAATTTTTATAGATTAAGAGCGGCACTTAACAGGTCGTTGTCCAAACATATCTAAAAATTAAGGAAAATATATGTATTTGCCAACCAACAAATATTGATCCTTTCTCATGTAAATCTTTTGAAATATTTTTACATATCTAAAAATTAAAGAAAACATTAGTTGATCCGTCTTCCTGTAAACCTTTTGAAATATTAAAATTTTTTGAGTAATAGAGTCCATAAAATAATTGTTTAGACCAAGCAAGGCATTATATTTTTTCGCGATAATATGGTATATAAGCAAATTCATTAGAAAAGAAAACATTTGCATAATTTATCTACAAGTGGGGGAGATAAGAAAATATTTTCAGCCGATTTCGAGCAATGTGTGTCACATATTTGTACATATTCATATTTGTCCAATAGCAGGAGATAAACGCAGATGCAAGGAAAGTAAAGCTGGACTAGCTAATACAAAGGGGAATCGAGAAAGGTAAACAGCATTTAGTCCAGATTCTAGTTAGAGCTGCAGCCCTGGTCCATTCCATATACAGCTGTGCATTATTTCTGTGCTACATCTGTTGATCAAATACTCCCTCTCGCTCTTGCATTCTACAAATATTTACACAATGCAAGCAAGTGAAGTTGCGAACGAAGCGGCAAAGGAAAACAAAGTGGGTGGGGGAGGCCAAGGCAAACTGTGCCGCCAACAACTTCCGTGCTGGAAAGACTCACTCCCTCATATTCTCCCTGGCTCCCCCTCCTAGCGCCCTGTTCTTTAACAGTCTATGGAATCTGCAGACTCCAACGGCACAGGCATGTAAACTGCACACAGAAAACAATATGTATAATATGCTTTACTTATCCTTTTGAATCTGATTTAATGTCATAAAATATAAAATTGTTATTTTGAGAAAGGTACAATTTATATTTCATTATGATAGTTATTAAAAAATATAAATTTAATAGGGCGGCAGTGGAAGTCGAAACTGAACTTTTATTACCGGAAATGGCTATTAAAAATGTATAAATTTTGTTAGTACTGCCACGGTATTTTAAATTAAGTTTTGCCCGACTAAATTTACTTGGTCTCCTTTCTTGGTTTATCTTTTTTATATATTTCACATATATATTTTTGATATCGCTGTGTTTCCTGTGTAGTTAAACAAACAAGCTTTTCTCCGCTTTTGTCCCTTTCCCTATGCTCCGATCCAAACACGAGACGATGGCGCTTTTACCGTTTAGAGATGTGTCACCTGCCTCCGTTCCCTTCCCCTTGTTTCGTGTTCCAATTTGAAGTGTCTGGCATAAATATTCATCTTCCTATGCAAATGATTCGCAATATGTTTTGAATGATGCTCAGGTGGGTCTTTCGCTCTCCGCCGGGCACGACATTCGATTAGCCCTGTTCGCATGGCTTTACAGCTGGATGTGAGTCTATATATGTAAATATGTATACAACTGGGTTGGGGCATGCACCTCAAAAGGGGTTAACGATGAGTGGTCCACAGAATCTAGCGACCACATTTCTTCCCTTTTTTAATGAACATCAATACATATTTTTGCATAAGCTTAGACCGATTTCTATAATGCAAACTGTCACCAGATATTTTAAGTACAGAGAATGGCATAATAAAAAAATGTTTTCATTTTGAAAATAAGCAGAACTATTAATAATTTATTTCATAAAGCATAAATTAAAGCAATAAGTCATTAAAACATGTTTTTTTTTTAATAACAAGTGGCAGAAATTGAATTTTAAAAACTATTAACGAACAATTTTTGTTACCCATATACTCCTTAAATACCTTTCTTATCCTATTACAAAATTTGACTTAAGAAATCTTGATTTTATTCACGAACAACCGAATCTGAAGAGATTCAGTTCTTACATTGTTAGTTCTTTAGCGATTTAGAGGAAACCTGACTCATGCTTAGCGCTTATCAAACGATCATCTCTTACCGGTTGTCAAGCGAAATCGCGTCGGCCTTGGTTTAAAAGCAGTGAGTGGCCCATCATTTGCTTCTTTCGCTCGGCCATAATTAAAATTTCCCCATTACTCATCCGACTTGAGTGGGGACTGTGAGTGCTTAGTGGCATCTCATCCCATTATCTCCGTGGGCTAGAAAAGTAGGTCAAAGCCTAGCCAGAGCCTGCCTGCCTGCCAACTGGCAACTGCTAATAATAATTATTATTCTGGCTTGCCCCAATCGAAAACGTTTTACGCTTCAGCGGATCACCAATGGAGTCAGCGGGGAATGGCCAATGGCAGGAGATACGGACTGGGGCTTGGGGTTCGCTTTGTATGTGGTTCGATTTCAAAAGACCACACCAAACTATTTTCGGCTGGCTGAGCATTAACTTCACCAGCTCGGCGACTCGTTTTGGCCAATTTCCACCTGCAGACGGGTTCGTTGAACGATTTAAGTTTGTTCATTGATTTTTGTACTGATTATATACGTTGACTCTCGGAAGGAACAGTAAATAAACGTGCTCCCTTTATTTCACAGAGAATCTGCTGCAGAACACCTACTATAATGGCGAGGCCGGGGACAGCAGTCTGGGCAGCGAGTGCGGAGTTGGAGATGTCCAGCACCAAAACCACGAAAGCCACGATGACCCGGGCGACGGATTGGGACCCCTGCCTCCCAAATGGGAGACTGCCTACACCGAACGCGGCGAGCTCTACTTCATCGAGTGAGTATGACGAAAACGAATGAAAATCTATAAATCCTCTCAGATTTTAAATCTATGGTATTTAGAGAGGACTATCTTAAGAACCTTTCTCTTTTAGCCACAACACCGGAACATCTCACTGGCTGGATCCGCGCCTCTCCAAGTACCAGAAAAAGTCACTTGAGGATTGCTGCGAGGACGAGCTGCCTTACGGTTGGGAAAAGATTGAGGACTCCATGTATGGGATGTACTTTATCGACCATGTGAACCGGCGAACGCAGTACGAGAACCCAGTGCTGGAGGCCAAGAGGCGGGCGGCCGAGCAGAGCCAACAACAACAGCAGTTGCAACAGCAACAGCAGCAACAGGAACAGCGCTCCAAGACACCCACTGTGCTGCCTGAGGCACTGCCCACAGAGGCGGCGGAGGAGCAGGAGGAGGACGAGGCCCCCGTCAAGCTTCCCTACAAGTTCACCCGCAATCCCGCAGAGCTCCAGGGCCAGCGTGTCAATACCACACTTCTTAAGTCAGCTCGCGGCCTGGGTTTTACCATTGTGGGTAGCGATGGAAGCGCCGGCGGGGATGTGGAGGAGTTCCTGCAGATCAAGACAGTGGTGCCTAACGGGCCCGCTTGGCTGGACGGTCAGTTGCAGACGGGCGATGTTTTGGTCTACGTGAACGACACCTGTGTGCTGGGTTATACGCACCACGACATGGTTAATATATTCCAGTCGATTCTGCCCGGGGAGAGGGCATCTTTAGAAGTGTGTCGCGGATACCCACTGCCCTTTGATCCAAATGACCCCAACACTGAGGTGGTGACCACCATGGCCGTGGATGGTCGTGAATCGGACAAGCAGAGACGTCTCAACATGGACGGCAACTACAACTTCCTAGATTTGTCCGGCGATGGGGCAAAGAAAGCGAACGGTGCCGGCAGTGGCTTTATTCTGATGAAGAAACCTGAGCTATACACATTCTCCATCATGAAGGGCTCAATGGGTTTTGGATTCACCATTGCCGATTCCGCCTGTGGTCAAATCGTGAAGAAAATCCTTGACCGCAACTGCTGCACCCAGCTGATGGAGGGTGACGTTCTTCTGGAGATCAACGGCTTAAATGTACGCAATAAACCGCACTTCTACGTGGTGGAGTTGCTGAAGGAGTGCAGCCAGACGACGCCCACAGCGGTAAAGATTCAGCGCACGCCGCCAGACCAGCCGGCCAACAACACGCTTTCCCAATTAAACCAGGTTGGCAATGTGGCTAAACTGCGGAAGAACTTTGTAGGCAGTGGCCTCTTCCGCAGCAAGACGCCCACAGCGGACCTGTACAGCACCCAGGTTAAGGAGGTACTGCCCATGCGCCCGAAGACCCCATTGGTGGACACGCGGAGGGCACGGGTTCAGACGCCCAGCAACGAGGTGGATGGCGAAGGTGACGGCGGGTCAGCGACGGAGAGGGAGACGAGGAAACCGCTTCAGCTGCAGACCCAGGGCAAGTCGAACAGCAGTCTGCAGGAGCTAGATGACATACCCTACATGGATCCCTATCCCAAGATTAGCCGTCTAAGCGAACGTCTGGCGGAAGTGACGTTACAGGGAGATGCTAATGGTGGCATCTACGGGTTGCCGCCCAGCATGCAACCGCTCCCTTTGCCACTGGCCCACCACGAGTCCTGCTACTGCTACGACTGCCAGGCGCAGCGATACCGTCCTGGGTACTTTGTCCAGGCCCAGCAGGCCGGGATGTCGGGAAATACCGGTCAGTACTCGCCGTTGCAGACGGCGCATCTCCAGAACGAGCGGATCCAGCGACGCGTGAACGAGCTACTCAGCGACAGGAGACGCGTGGGATTCGCAAACCTGGATCCTCCCCACCAGCAACAGCAGCAGATGCAGCACTCACCCAGCTGGCGCAATGGAGCTTTGCTCGACGCATCTGAAGATGCGGATCAGTGCGAACTGACAGAGGTCACTCTGGAGCGTCAGGCGTTGGGCTTTGGGTTTCGCATCGTTGGTGGCACTGAGGAGGGCTCGCAAGTGACAGTAGGTCACATAGTGCCGGGTGGCGCCGCAGATCAGGACCAGCGCATTTCCACTGGCGATGAGATCCTAAGCATCGATGGCATTAACGTGGTAAGTAAAGCCTAGTCAGGTAATTTTGGACATGACTTATTTTCGTGTGTAATCTGTGCAGCTGAACTCTTCGCACCACAAAGTAGTATCCCTGGTGGGGGAATCAGCGCTTCGCGGGCAGGTCACTATGATCTTGCGCCGACGTCGGGCTCCGCTCCTGCAGCAGGCTCCAGTTAGCACACAACTTCGTCGTTATCCATATGATGTGATTGTCAGCCGGCATGAAAACGAGGGATTCGGATTTGTCATAATATCATCATCGAACCACTACTACGGCTCGACTATAGGTATGTTGAACATAGCAGAGCTTTAACGTTTTTATCTCACAAATAAATGATTTCAGGAAAACTAATACCAGGCAGTCCAGCAGATCGATGTGGGGAACTTAAAGTGGGAGATCGCATAGTGGCAGTGAACCGTATCGAGATAGCCGGAATGTCGCACGGCGACGTAGTGAATCTCATCAAGGAGTCTGGTCTTCATGTGCGACTCACCATTGGCGTTCCACTGAAGGAGGGCGGTCCCAGTCCTGGAGGCAGTAGCGCCGGTGTGGCCAGCAATACTACCATGCAGTCATCTCCCAGTCTCCTGAAGGCTCAACTCTCCCACCAGCAGCAACTGCCGCAACAAATGCATCTTCAGCAGACGCAGCTTAACCACCACCACCAACATCTGGAGATGCCAATGTCAATGCCCATGCCAGGACATGGAAGTTATTTGGAGCGACCCAGCAACAATATCGCGGCCACTTTGGCTCTGCACCAGCAGCAGCCTCAGTTATGACTCTGAGACCTACGCATTCGGCTCTACAAGAGCTTTCTTTAGTGTTGGATCAATTATCAATTGTATGCCCTTAGTTTGTACTTTAGTTAACAAAGTACTAACCCCAAAGACTGAATTTAGTAGCATATGTAAGTCAAACCTTTTACGAGTCTCGAAACATTTCGTGAATGCGTCTTTTATACCAGTTTAATAAAATCCCATTTATCGGTTTAGGATAAGTTATAACTTGTACTTAAGCGTTAGGAAAATCTGCCAGTTTGTGAGATATATATTCATTTTTATACACTGTATAGATATATTAGAACTGTACAAATGTAAAGGACTTTAATATTTTATCACGAATATGTATGTTATTCAATCACATTAGACATTAAATTGTATTTTTCAAATATAAACATTATACAGTCAAACTTTTTTGTTAGTAATCATTTCGTAATTTACTTAACAATTTCATTGACTCATTTTCAGTTTGTTTATTGGATGGAATTGAACTGAACTTTTAATAATAAAATCATCAGCATTACCAGGCGAGACATGTCCGTCGCGTTTCTAACGAAACTTTACAAAAAGTCTTCTATCTTTTGCAGGCAGTATTAAGAAATTAAACCTCATTGTTTCTTAACAAATACGGTTTTAGTTTTATAAAAGTATAGCTCAATGGAAAAGGTCGGAAAAAAATAGAAAAATGAAATGAAAATCCTGTGAAACAATTTTTCTGTTTTGAAATATATACGGAATTTCTCCAAGATATACTTTTTTATACCATGTATGTCACGACTGTAAGTCTATAGTTTTTTTTTAGAAAATATCGAAAGATAATTAAAAAATTGACAAAGCTTCATTGTGTTTCAACAAATTTGGATATAGTAATCACTACATGTATGATAATAGTTTATTTTTTCAAACCAAATCTTTTCCTTATCAAAGCTTAACGACGAAGGTTGAGATCAAAGTCTAAAACATTATTTTGAAAAGGCTTTATTTAAGTCATATTATATAATTGTAAGTCGCAGTATTTAAAATCGAAATAAAATTGATATATTTCGGCAATATATAAAATTAATATTCAAGATTAGTGAAAATATATTTTCTCAAGATAGATCCCCTCGCCATCTCCGGCAGCAACGCCATGGTCCTCAGAGTAGTCAGGTTTGTAGGGTAAAATGTTGCGGTACTAGTTGGGCGGTTGTCGTGGTTCCTTGGCCGAATCGAGGGGGTCCTTTATATTGGCAGAGGCGCTGGTCTTAAAGCGCTTTACGCCGCCGCTGGAGGAGGAGGCCGAAGTCAGAGAGGATAGCTTTGCGGAGCGTTTGTTAGTCGACACCAGCGTCGCCGTCGTAGTGATTCCCGTTTGCAGCTTCTGCTGCGGCTGTTGTACAATGGTGGCTTAGGGTGCGGCCGTGGTCTGGATGGCGATCTGGGTGATGACCTTGTTGTCGTCGCACAACCCGTCTTCCACGGTCTCGATCTTGTAGCGGGCGGAGGCGCGCGGCTGCTGGCGTTGCACCCGCTGGGCAGAACATTTTATAAGCTAACAAAAGTATTATTTGGATATGTGTAAGCTTTTTTATACCCTTGCAGAGGGTATTATAATTTTGGTTAAAAGTGTGCAACGCATTGAATGAGACATCTCCGACCCTATAAAGTATATATATTCTTGATCAGGATCACCTCCTGAGTTGACATAAGCATGTCCGCCTGTCTGTCTGTCTGTTTCTACGCAAACTAAACTAAAACTAAACTCTCTCAGTTTTAAAGATATCGAATTGAAACTTTGCACACACTCTTTTTTCCTTTGCACGCAGCATATATGTAAGTCGGGACGGCCGGGATCGGCAGACTATATCCTATAGCTGCCATATAACTGATTGATCGGAAATGCCATAACTTTGGTGTTTGTAAAGTTAGGAAGTTGGGATTTGCTATGTGTTTTATATTTGGCCAATCAGTCCGACCTACCAAATGTCATAAGGATCGGCCGACTATATCCTATATCCGCCATATAACTGATTGATCGGAAATGCCATAACTTTGGTGTTTGTAAAGTTAGGAAGTTGGGATATTTTATGAGTATGAAAATGCATCATATGAATAATTTTGGAGAATATAATTTACAGAGTATTCTGCAAGTTAGCTTTCCTTTCTTGTTTACAGGTAAACTTTAACGTGCATTGCTGTTTATAGTTGGGATCCCTATATATTCTGGAGCTTCTTTGCTTTGAAATTCGAAACTTCTGTTTAATGTCGTTGTTTTTAAGATATAACTGCAAACAATGGATTTATGCGATTTCAGCAATCAATGTTATGTTGACAAAATCCATTTTCTATACGAATAATTTGTATTAAAAATAACAATTTGTATTATTTTACCTTTATTGTGTATACGAAGAATTTTGTTATTTTTTTATGATAGAGCTCAAATGGATTTATAGAAATAAAAAACTCTCCATTGTCATTATTTATTCACTGAAAACTGTACACAAACGTACGGCGTTATAGCTAATACAAGTACAAGAATTGTGGACTCCATTACAAAATACAATGAGTCTTTTAAATAGGCTATGCTTAAATTCGAATACATGGCTTATATGGGTTTGATCTTGAAGTGCAGGCCGATGAGTGAGAAGACCAGGCACTTAAGATCCTGCACCAGGTAGTAAAAGCAGCGCAGGCCCTCTGGGTCCTTCGACCGATTCACGTCCACCAAGGACCCGGTTTTTGATGTGGTAAACGAGATGTGCTCGTCGCCGATGACGATCTCCAGCTCCTGAAAAACACCAAGGTTATTGGAGCCCCTCTTTCACGTGCTTATCCAGAAAACCCACCTGTCGACCCACGCGATCTGGTGGTGGCCAGGGCAGATCGTCCTCCTGCATGATCTCCGAGTCAATAATGATGCGCTTCAGTTCCTCCATCACGGATTGGTGGACGAAGGCCTCCTTGCGGATCATGGTGTCGTTTTTGTAGTTTGAGTTGTTGGCGTACCGGAGCTTGCCATCCGGCCGGAACTCGAACTCCAGGAACTCGTGCCCGAACTTGCCTTTGTGGCCGACGTAGTAGCGTAGGTAGAAGTCTTCAGTGGACATGATTACTCTTACGTTGTGATGTTTTTTGGAAAACTTTCAGGAAAATGCTATTTTCTTTTCCCACTTTTACCGAAAACGCGGTAGAGGTGGAATCAACGCGATAGGACTATCGCCGCATATCGATATGCCATTCGCTGGGAATGGTTGATGGAGAAGAGGAAGCAGCTTATCGGCGTATCGATAACACAACAACAACCCACGTCCAAGTCGCTGTTTGTTCTGATTTGCATTAAAATGTAATTTAATTTCGTGGCAATGGAACTACCTCAACAAGTACGTGTTTGGATTATTTGTATAGGCCGTCGTCGGCTTTATCAGTCGGAATTTTCCCCCGCAACATTGTAGTTATTGCTAATTTGCAACAAAGTTGGAAATTCGGATTGTTTTTGGTCGTGTGATTGTGTGCGTGTGTGAGGCCACCGCCGTTGTAATGGCGTCCATGTCAAAATGGGAGAGGACACGCGGCTGGCTCTCCGGCTGGCTCCATCTCCCACATCCATCGCGATATCCTCCGCCATGTCCTTCTCCAATCCGTATCTCGGTCAAAGTAATTTTACAAAAACACAGGGCCATTAATTTGCGCCCGGAGAGCGGGAGAGCGTTGAGCGCCAAGAGAGCGAGTGTCCTGCAAGTGAAAGTGCAAGGATGCGAGGGCGCAGGTGCCGCTCTTGGCGGGAAAACCATAAACGGAGCACGTGCGACCCCAGTCGTCCTTCGGGAAAAGTCGGTCGTGCAACAAAGTTGCGCTCAGCTGAGACTCGGACTCCCCGGTCAATCCTCTCCGGCTCCAAAGACACGACTCCAACTCCGCTCTTCACAAGCGACGCTTACTTGGTGGTGGTTTGTTTTGACTGTCCGCCCGGAAAATCGATGACATTGAGTGCAACATTGTGGCATCCGCCCATCTGCCCCGCCTAGTAATGCCCCAAGTCCCCACAATATTTACAAACAGTTTACGCAAACAAATCTCTTGTGCTCTCCGCCTCTCTGGAATTCTCTCCTTATACGTCCATGTATACGTATCCCAAGTCCGGATCCGGAGCTCTGTCGGGCCGCGGGTTACAACATTGTTAACTTCGGGCTTTTGTGTGTGCAGTCGGTAACCAGGACAGTAACCGGGAAGGAGTTACTTTGTTGCGCATTAATTGATTTTTCCGCAATCAGTTTTTGCTTCTTTGTAGGACTACAAGTGCTCATAAAAAACGGTAGAAAGTTTGTCATTAAAAGTACTCTGAATAAGGAGAAAATTGGTAAGTAACGGAGAGGGGATTGCGGAATAGTAAGAGGACTTGGGTGTGTATCCACAAGAGTTGCATGGGGCATACATATACATTACTGCATAAGTAAGTTACTATGGGGGAATCCCACTTGAAAAGTATATATGTAGCATACATTTGAGGGTTTATTTTGCGAGTATTTGCCTGAAAAAGGTGTTTATACTTATGTATAGCAAATACAAAGACTAACATTTGTACATATTAACTAACTAATCATTGAACATATTTTTTCCATTTCCGCATTTTTTCCAGGCCATTTAGGGACCTGCCAACCGTGGCTGGGGAAAACCCTGCATGCAACATTTCGCCGCCTGAACGAACCATTATGGATACATGAAGCCTTTCACGAAGTAACGCGAAGTCAACATGTCAACGAACCCCAACCCCGGAATCCCCCAGTATGCACCCTCCTCCTCTTGGAGGGAACGCGACAGGGACAGGGCGACCAGCTCCTCGCAGCGTAACCTGCTCGAGTTCCTGTGCATTTGCGTGGCCTGTCTCGCCTGCTACTACAACAGCACTCAGTGTGGGCTGGTCTTCGACGACATTAGTGCGATTAGGGATAACAAGGACCTAAGGCCCCACACGCCCCTGCGCAACATCTTCCTCAATGACTTCTGGGGCACACCGATGCGCAAGGAGCAGTCCCACAAGTCCTACCGCCCACTCACCGTCCTAACGTTCCGCTTCAACTACTTGCTGCATGCGCTGGAGCCGTTTGGCTACCACTTCGTCAACCTGCTGCTGCACTTGTCGGTCTGCTTGCTGTGGCGACGGGTCTGCCGGCTGCTGCTGCGCCAGTGTGCCTCGTCGGGTAGTAATGCCACCTCGGCTTCGTCCTCATCTTCAGCCTCCCAGCTCAACACATGCGCTTTTGTGGCCTCGTTGCTCTTCGCCGTTCACCCGGTTCACACCGAGGCCGTTACTGGCGTCGTCGGGCGCGCTGAATTGCTCTCTTCCATTTGCTTCCTGGCCGCTTTTCTCAGCTACGCGAAGTCCGTCGGCGACTCAGGCTGCCCTCGTCGAACCAATTGGATGGCGCTTTTCGCCTGCTTTGGCAGTTGCCTGCTGGCCTCCATGCTGTGCAAGGAGCAAGGTATTACCATCGCCGGCATCTGCGTGGTCTACGAGTTATTCGTGGTGCACCAACTGCGTCCGCTGCATCTTTGCCACTTTGTTTTGCGTCTGTTTGAAGAGCAGACTGAGCAGCAGTCGCCCAAGTTGGGGAATCCTACTGGCATCCGACGCTGGTCCTCCTCGGCGCTGTGGAAACGACTGATCTTTCTCTCCGGCATCACGTTGGCCCTGCTGGTGGGCCGTGTCTATGTGATGGGCTCCCAGCTGCCCATTTTCACGCGGTTCGACAATCCTGCCTCTGCGGCGGATACACCCGAAAGGCAACTGACCTACGGCTACCTCATCTACCTGAACTGCTGGCTGTTGCTCTGCCCCTCGTTGCTCTGCTGCGACTGGACAATGGGTGAGTTTAATTTTTAAGAAAACGACGGCGAAATTCTTAAATTGAACTTTTTTTAAAGGGACTGTCCCGATGCTGCAGGGTTTTTCTGATGCCCGGAACTTGACCACACTGTTCACCTTTTTGGCGCTAGGTGCTTTGGTTGCAAAGGCGTGCTTCACCCGCAATCTGGCGAAGTCGCGGATTCTTATTATGTGTCTCGGCTGGATGGTGCTGCCCTTCCTCCCAGCCTCAAATCTGTTCTTCCCTGTGGGATTTGTGGTGGCAGAACGCATTTTGTACATGCCATCGATGGGCTACTGTCTACTGGTGGCGTACGGCTTTGGTCAGCTTCAGCGTCGTGGGAGCCTCAGATGGCGTCGGATTGAACAGGCGGCCCTGGCAGTTCTGCTGCTCACGCACGCTCTTAAGACGCATCAACGGAATTCAGACTGGCGTACTGAGTACTCCCTGTTCATGTCCGGCGTACATGTAAATCAGCGCAACGCCAAGTTGTACAACAACGTGGGACACGCTTTGGAGAACGAGGGAAAATTTGAAGAGGCATTACTCTACTTCCAACAGGCTGTGCGCATACAGGCCGATGACATTGGAGCCCACATCAATGTAGGACGCACATTTAATAATCTCAAGCGGTATGCAGAGGCGGAACAGGCTTATGTTCAGGCCAAGGCCCTGTTTCCACAGGCCAAGCCGGGGGTCAGCTATCATGCGCGCATTGCACCCAATCACTTAAATGTGTTCATCAACCTGGCGAATCTTATAGCTAAGAATCAAACGCGTTTGGAGGAGGCTGACCATCTCTATCGCCAGGCTATCAGTATGCGGAGTGACTATGTTCAAGTAAGAGCCCTAGATTTATTTATTTATTTATTTAATAATTTTCCTTGGTTTACAGGCATACATCAACCGCGGTGACATTCTTATGAAGCTGAATCGTACCGCCCAAGCACAGGAGGTGTACGAGCAGGCCCTACTTTATGACAACGAGAACGCAGACATCTACTACAATCTGGGAGTGGTCTTTCTGGAACAGGGCAAAAGCCAGCAAGCGCAAGTTTACTTCAACAAGGCGATCGAGTTGTACCCGGAACACGAACAGGCACTGCTCAATTCAGCCATTCTTCTGCAGGAACTGGGTGGCGAAGAGGCGCGCCGGGTATCTCGCTCCCGTCTTTACAAAGTGCTGGCCAAGGATGATCAGAATGAGAAGGTGTACTTCAACTTGGGCATGCTGGCTATGGATGAATCGAGCTTTGATGAGGCTGAGCAGTTCTTTAAGAGGGCGATTCACCTTAAGTCTGACTTTCGTAGTGCCCTATTTAATCTGGCTTTGCTACTGGCGGATACAAAGCGTCCCTTGGATGCAGTGCCGTTCCTGAATCAACTGATTCGACATCACCCCTCGCATGTGAAAGGTCTGATTTTGTTAGGGGACATATATATTAACCACATGAAAGATCTGGATGCAGCAGAAAAATGCTATCGAAGCATACTTCACTACGATCCCCACAACACTCAAGGCCTACACAACCTGTGTGTGGTGTTCGTGGAACGCAAAAGGCTTGCGAAAGCCGCTGCCTGTTTGCAGTATGCCCAACGCTTGGCACCCGCCGAGGACTATATTGGTAGGCATTTGCAAATTGTCTATGCACGGCTTCAAAAAATTAACAAGTTACCTGAGTCGGCGCCAGAGCGAAAGCTTGCATACGAGGACTATGATCCCCTTGAGTTTAAACTTCCCCAGGATCGACCTACCCTTAAGCCACGCAAAAGATCGTAGCAGAAGTAGCGTGAATCAAATAGCAGTTATAAGAATGTATAAAGACACAAGTTGAGTTAAAGGAAACGAAAGGTTCCACATTCTGTGAAATATACAGAGTCTGATAATGATAACACAAAGTGAAAAAGTGGAGAATTCCACACTATTCCGTTGTACTTATTAGTTATTATCGTATACTTCGATCATATACTCATTTTGAAGATATTTATAGAATTTTTGTGTATTTGCAAATTGCATTGTGACAATTGATGTTTCTTTTGTAAATAGATTATCTAATTTATATGTGGAGGGTTCGCAGTCTTGCATTTACCAAAATAACGTTAAGACATGTACTAAAATAAATAACACAAATTAAAAACGAATTGCCTATATTGAATATTTTCTTAGAAGGGTAGGGTGCCATTTTGAATAATCATTAAAACAATTTATTTTATTTGCATATTCCATTTATTTGCTTCTATTTATAAATCTTTGATCAATAGCTGCTTAAACATATTCAGAGCCTATTACAAGTTAGTATGTTCTCTTACAGACTAATAGTACTCTCATTTGAAATAGTTTACATTCATCCTTGATTTGTTGCTATATGCGGATTATAAAATTGATATTTAGTTTAAATGACATTTAACTTATGGTTAGATGGGCACATTAAGATTTACAGAGTTGTAGGACCTGTCCTAATTTATTTTCTTATAAAATCGGTGAGCACATTTTGAGTAAATGTCATACAATGATAGCTACTACATTACATTTAAGTGATTACGGGACTCTTTAACTGACTAGATTTCCGAGACTATTTTCCACAATGTTCTGGCCAGAGTGACTTGTTTCACCCTCCAGTAGGCTGTACATAAGGCAGCGGGCTAACCCGAGGATCCAAGCCAGCTCACTCGCAGGCTATTTTGCCGTCGAAACTACTAAGGGCTATTGCAAATGCCTGCATCGCGCACAGTGGATAGCGATAGTCCATGGTGAAGACGTCTTCCGATGTGCGGCCAAACTGCATCACTATGTACTCGGGATCCGAGTCGTGGACCAGCTGAAAGTTTTTCACCGACGCCTGGGTGACGCGTCCATGAAAGTTGAGCACATACGACTGCGTTTCATCATTCCACACCGGCGTCTTATTGTGCAGCTCCACAATGTTGTCCATGTTCTGTAAATATTTAATAATTAGTATGTAGTTATTCGGAAGTCATAATCGTCTTACCTTCATCTTCCACAGGTCCAGAATACCCTGCTGCTTGGGATCCGCAGAACTGATCTTCACACGCTGGTCGTCCTCAGTCATGCCCGGCAGTATTACAGTCATGTTGCGAGGTCCCTTGAATCCCAGAATGTTGGTGTCCTGTAATTAAAATTTACCAACTAAGTTATTTACGAGGAGTAAATCGTTTAAATATATAAGTAAGAAAAAGCAGTAAAATGGTCTCCTCATTTGAACATTCAAATGTTACGTGTTAAGTAGACCGTACTCTGAATATTTGATCGGAATCAAACTTTGATTGTATACAAATTTATTTTGATAAATCAGTAACTATAACTAGTTTAAATCTAATTTATTTTTTTATTGTATTTAAGCCTGAAATCTGACAAAAAAGTTGTTGGTTAATATGCCAAAGATTAAGAAACGCAGTTCCTGAAACTAAGCAGTTATGTTTTAAGAAATTTACTAGTCTATAAGTCCATTTCAGTTAACCAGTTATTACTCACATATATTATGACGGCCAGGTCCAGTCGTGGGCTCTCCGTGCTCTCCTTGTTGCCATTGTCAAAGACGGTGAAGGACGTGCCGAACACATTGGAGCGGAGCTTTCCACAGAAGCCATCGGCATTGCGGGACAAATCCGTGGGATCGCAGCTTACTATGTAGTTTGATGTCTTGCTCTTCTTGCGTTTGCGGCCTGCAAATCAAATCAATTTTGTTAGTTGACAGCTCTTTAAAGGGGTATAGAGTTTTAACCCACCTCCTAGCAGGAATATCTTCTTGCCGTAGTCCCGCTCCAGGTGCAAGTAGTATATGGGAAAGAGACCGCGGTCCATGCCCTTGCGGTCCCGGGTAATACGGCACTTGTAGAGGACTCCCTGCGGCGCTGGCTGCATTACGAATTGGTCGATGTTTCCGATGACATCCCCCTCGGACTCCCCGCCAGCCCCATTCCCCGTCCCGTTGCTGTCCAGCGTCGCATCCTTGTAGGGCGACGAGGCCATTCCGGCGGGACGCACTGGTGCTGCTCCTGCGACGTTGCGGTTGGTGTAGTCGTCCTCGTCCAGGTTGTCGCTGAAGGAATGCTGGCGGGCATGAGGTTTTTGAGATTGCGTAGAGTTGGCGCTGTGGCTGCCATGCTGCTGCTGCTCGATCACCGTCACCGGACTGCTCTCCTCGTCCTCCAGATCGTGCGATGAGATCTCCTCTATAAGATCAGCTGTATGGGAAAACAGAATTTTCAGGATTAATTACAAATTCAAATCTGACCAATAAAATAATTGTATATAACTCATAAGATCGTTGAAATGCATCTCGTGCCTTTCTGTTAAATACTTTGTTTAAAAATATATAATAATCTAATGGTTTGACTTTTCGTTACACGTTTTTGCACAACAAAGCATATATATTTACCTTTCAATAGGTTTTATGTAGTATACATTTTAAAAATTCAAAATATTTTTAAAATTTTTTGTTTTTTGAACAAACATTTATTTTGCTGGATTATGTTTGAAGTCGGACTTTTGATTTTTCTGATTAGAAAAAATCAAACAGATTTAAAGTCTTTCTATTAAAAAAACAGAATATTATTAATTCGGTGCGAAAGTAATTAGGCCTTGAGGTGTTTTATTTGAAAATCCGAAAATAAATAATATTTTTTGAAATTTAAAAAAGAAATCGATCTTGAGCTATATTTTTAATTTTCAAGGCCATGATAAGTCTGGAAGTGCTTAGGTTGGGTATATTTTTTGTTGTGTATGGCCACTTACCCTCCTGGTTGATGGTGCTCAGGCTGCGCATGTTGTTTGAGTGGTTGCGACTCGTGTTCATGGCAACCGGAGTGACGCCCCCGGGGCTGCCGTTGGTCAGTATCTGGTCCGGATTCTGGGGCGAGCTGATGAACTGCATGGGTCCGTCGTAGGCGTGCAGCTCGCGACTGTTGCTGCGCATCCCGGACATCGGCCGGCTGATCTGGAGATCACTGGCCTGGACCATTCCCGGCGAGGCTCTTTTCTGCCTGATGTAGGCCTCCATCAGCTGGCGCTGCAATCAAATAAGTTGGCACAAAAACATTGATTACTCCACGCTCCAATCATAAGTCACTCAAAGATTACTTAGATTAAGCACAAGCTAAAGTAACAAGATAATAAATCAAATAATTGCGATTGCACTTGCTGATAAACGTACACAAAATGCTTGCAGGCAAAGCCACAATTATTTTTGATTTTCCAAGCGACAATTTGCAAGTGAATTTCTGAAAATCCAATTAGGCGTCCCAGTTTCAAGTTGCAACAAATTGCTAAACAGAATTTACACCCACGGAGCGGATAAATGACCGCAATAAATGCCTAAATATTTGCATATGCATGGATACCCCTAATCCCCTCCAGCGGAATGCAAATGCGGGCAGCAGGTAATTGGCCCAGCATCCCGACGGAGCGAAAAGAGGGAATCGAGCCGATCCGTCAGCACCACCACCCTCATCCCCATCCACCATCCATCCACCAAGCACCAAGCACCCAACTCAATGGAATGGGTGGGTGTGGGAATGCGAATGCAAATGGAAATGGGTACGAACCACCGCCGCATGACATGTGGGACAGCGGTTGATGGCAATGATTTCATTAAAGATTTAAATTTCAAGTTCACGTTCATGCTTACCAGCGCAAAAACAATAGCAGTATCTGTCAAAACTTGCGCTGAAATTGCGCATATAAATCAAATCAAATATCCCGAGTTTAATGGCTCCCATTTTCATTTTCTTTTACAGGACGTAAGAAGCAAGAGAAAATCCCAGCTTTTTATAAAAAAAAATTAGTTCTTTTAAAAAGGTTTTACGTTGTTAATATTTAATAACGAAATGTATAATTCTATTGTGACTTTGGATTTTCATAAATAAAAGTTGGGAATTTTAATGCTACGGATATTTAAGAATGCTTTGTCAATTTATTTTTCAAAAACCATAAACGGAAATATTGTTATTTCTAAAGCAATTGTTACTACTTTTTTTATAAAGAGAATTCCCAAGTTATGTCCTTATTAGTTCGTTTATTGCTTGAAATATATATCGTTTTGGGGCGCTACAAGAATCGGGGACTACAGGAAGTTAACGTTACTCAGGATGCTTTCAATGGTGGAGTTGAGCTCGCGCATTTTGGGCGCCGGATCGCACTGGAGCTGGAAGTAGCCGGGCAGATCCTGCTCCGCCTCGAAGGCACTCGTCCTGTTGGCCCCCAGCCAGAGGTCTAGCCGGTCGTAGATGACACCCGTGGGTCCCTGCTGCAGGAACCAGTTGATGGAGTCGCGGTCCTTAAGGTCCGATCCCCAGAGCAGGACGATGGGGACCTGTGCGCGGGCACGTTGGACCACAGAAGGATCCGCCTTGACGAACACGGCGTTGGGCGAAATGCCGCCCAGATCGAAGGCCTGCGCGAAGTTGACGCTCTGCTCAACGGTGCTGGTTCGCGGATCGGTGAAAACGTTCTCCTTGCTGCTGGACAGGAAGAGCACCGGGTACATGTGCTGCTTGAAGCGCAGCAGAGAGCACAGATCCGCGTCGAAGCTCTTGATCACATTAAGCCGCCCGCAGCCATGTCGCCGCACCACCGCCAGGATGCGGTCCGCGAACAGGTTCTTGTCCAGCGTCTGCTCGCTCTCGAACTGCCCGTCCGCCTTCTGCTGCGGCCACTTGATCTCGATGTCGAATCCTGTGCTCTGGTTCACCTGCTCGAAGAAGTCCTGTAATGTGGGAAAGAGGCGCTGCTCCGGCGGCTCCACGTTGTTGTGCGCCGGATACTCGACGATCTTGTTGCCCACGATCTGGTAGGTCTTCAGGTCCTTCAGCTGCTCGTAGGATATGTCCTTCAGCAGCACCTCGGTCAGGTCGTCGCGACTGGTTGGTGTCTTGGAGTCGATGCAGACGCGAATGGAGAAGTCGTGGTGGATGATGGGCACCAGATCGCTGGTCAGCTGCACGTCGAACTCCACGAGATCGGCTCCCATCTCGGCGGAGGCCAGCATGGAGGCCACCGTGTTCTCGATGAGAGGAGCCGCATTCGAGGTGACCGTGAGCGACTTGCCCAGTCCGCGGTGGCCAATCTCCAGCGCCGTCCAGTTGGAGCGCCAGTAGTTGGCGAAGCTGGTGCGCAGGTCGAAGCTATCCTTCTCCATGGGTCGGATGACCAGGTACTCCAGCCGCAGTTCGCCCACCAGGCGCTGCCAGAGCGGCGAGATGAGGTCGATGGAGACACTGCCCTCGGTGCCGGGGAACGAGGTGTGCTGCAGGTGCGAGTATCCCAGCAGTCGGACCAGGCTCGCGTCCGGCTGTTCGGCGTACACTTCCACCAGGAAGGCCACCCGCTCCAGCTGCTCCAGGCTCACGTGGAACATGAGGATATCGCCGGAGGCGTAGGGCACTCCGTACTCCGGCTGGACCCGGAGCGTGCTGTCCGCGTACGCCATTCGCACATACTCCACACTGGCGCGAGCCGAACTGAGGATGGGCGCCAGGCTCTTCGGATCCACGGGCTGCAGTCGCAGGCGCAGCTTTCCCTGTCCCAGTTCTGGCTGCTCCTCCAGGCTGAGAGCCTCGCGGAACACCTTCAGCTGCAGGATGCTGCCAGAGTCCTGCAGCCAGCCACGCGATAATTGGCGTTGTGCTGCTATTAGTCCGAACTCATCGCTTCGGTTGCCACTGAACTTGGTGGTGTTGAAGGTCCTGGCCTGGACGTGCGACTCCCAGCGGCGGATCTGAACGGCTCCACTCTGGCCAACGGCGGCCGCGAAGTAGCGATACTCCACGCTGCTGTTCTGGGGTATTTCCACCGAGGCAGTCCACACATTGTGCACGGCGGTGCGATTGAGGAGCAGCGCCTGTTTCGCCTGCCAGGCGCCCAAAACGGGCAGGTTGCCCACCAGAGCGGGTCGCTCGAACGCCGCCAGTTGATCGGAATCCGGCAGCTTTAGGGTGAAGTTGAAGAGCAGCGGGGCGTTGCGCTTGAGGGGAACATAGCGCCGGGCCGCGTAGTACTTCTCGTAGTAGGAGGTGTCGCAGAAGGTCTCCACGGGCAGCAGGCACAGGGTGCTCAGCCAGGCGACGGTGAACGCCACGAAAGTCTTCGACCAGGACACCGACATGTCTGCACTCGACGGCGATCGCGCTGCGACTGGGGTTGCTTTTCTGGGGGAACTGGCCACTTTCCTATCGGGATCACCAGGGCGAGATTTATGGCAGTGGCCTCATCTTCGAGTGGGCGACACGATAAGGTTTCACACTATCGTGGTTTCAATGCGACTCGTCTGGCCGGTGGTCAAACCTATTCTGTTCTGCCCTAGACTCGTGCACCCCGCCGATACAGATACAGATACAGAGACAGATACAGAGAGAGAAACAGAGACATACTGATACGGATTCAGATTCATCGAAAGCTTTGGGGTGGTGCCTACGTCATCGTCATCAACGGGCGACGAACGGGTGGCAGTTTAAATGAATTTGATTTCGAGTGTTGCGCAAAAGCTTAACCTTCAATGGGTGGCATGGAACGGAATGGAATGGCCACATACGGAGACCCGAGACCAAAGACCAGAGACCGGAGACCGGAGCTCCCCTTATGTGGTGGCTGACCCCCAGTCGAGCAATTTACATGGTGAAAGTTTGTCAGCGTCCGTGTAATTTATCCGCTTAGCTCAATTATGCATTTTGTAACGTTTTGTTTTCCTTTCGAGTCAGTCGGCAGAGGTGGCACTGAAATAGTAATAACAATGTTCTAAATAGCGAATGGCTTACAGCGCTCGAAGGGTAATCTGCGTAAATTATACCGCTCGAGGTTCGCACCATGATTGCAGTTTCTTTAACTTCTGGTTCATCCCAAAGGTAACTACTCTCTGGGGCACGTTCACGATGTGTTCCTTTTTTGTCTACTGGTTTTTATGAGCAACACGCGATTATGTGAAAATTTGAAATCAGTTGGCTGCCAAGAAAAACTCAAGCACGTACAGCATACAGGAAGCTACGAGGGAAATGCAGAGCGGGCAAAAAACGAGTGACGTCGCCTTGGGAGATCCGGTTGGTTTGGTGGCTAAAAAACTTGGAAACTCGAAGTGGAGCACGATACAACACAAACTCTTTGGAGGGGTTCGTTTATGGCTTGACATAAATAACAACTATAAAACAGCGAATGCATAAAGTTAAGCTGAACAAGGACGCTTCTAGCTGATGAAGCAGTCAATGATGCAAGGCATTAGGTTTTATTTGGGTATACAATTATCTGGCGCATCACCCTGAAAATTCATGACTTGGTCATCAGAATAAAACTTTAAAGATTTAATAGATTGTTTAACTTTATAATAGCACTTGGTATATTAGGCTTCTTAAACTTTAAGTATTTCATGAATGATAAAATTTGAAAAATAAAAATACAATCTTAGCATTTCTTCAAAATCTGAATATTATTATTTGCAGCTTATCAAACCAAAGATATTTGAGAAAGGAAAACTCACAAAATTGCCATAAAGCTCATCGCCTTGAGCCATAATCCTTCGTTTAATACGTAATCATACGGTTTTATTATTTTTCAATTTCACATACACAGGCGTATTAGGCGGGAAGTCAGAATAACGAAAATATACGACTGTGGGAGGATGGGTGACTTAAACGAGAAAATGTGCAAATGTTTTTCAGCAACTTTTCGGGCATGCTTAGCGCATTTATTTTAATTTGGGGCCAGACAAATTTGCGTATACGTAATGAAGGGGTCTCGCCCAGTGCAATAAAAGACATAAGCACAAAGAACACTCGCACGCATACATATACACATTAAGAAGGTCAACATGTGTTGGAAACTGATATTCGGTGGGCTGCATACTTTCGGGGGTCGCGTAATAAAATGATTACTCATACGCCCCGTGCGCAAAACAAGGAAATTGAGAGCGTCAGCAAGCCAAACATCCCAGAATGTATTGTGGTTTTTTTGTTACCGCCTCTTGTTTGTTGTTGGCAAATACGACAACAGCCAGGACGAGCAAATCAGCCCCCTCCTCCCTGC